GTTAATGAAGGGACAAAGAGGCTCCTGTACATGTAGGTTAATGAAGGGACAAAGAGGCTCCTGTACATGTAGGTTAATGTAGGGACAAAGAGGCTCCTGTACATGTAGGTTAATGAAGGGACAGAGGCTCCTGTACATGTAGGTTAATGTAGGGACAAAGAGGCTCTTGTACATGTAGGTTAATGAAGGGGCAAAGAGGCTCCTGTACATGTAGGTTAATGAAGGGACAAAGAGGCTCCTGTACATGTAGGTTAATGAAGGGACAAAGAGGCTCCTGTACATGTAGGTTAATGAAGGGACAAAGAGGCTCCTGTACATGTAGGTTAATGAAGGGACAGAGGCTCCTGTACATGTAGGTTAATGAAGGGACAGAGGCTCCTGTACATGTAGGTTAATGAAGGGACAGAGGCTCCTGTACATGTAGGTTAATGAAGGGACAAAGAGGCTCTTGTGCATGTAGGTTAATGAAGGGACAAAGAGGCTCTTGTACATGTAGGTTAATGAAGGGACAAAGAGGCTCCTGTACATGTAGGTTAATGAAGGGACAGAGGCTCCTGTACATGTAGGTTAATGAAGGGACAGAGGCTCCTGTACATGTAGGTTAATGAAGGAACAGAGGCTCCTGTACATGTAGGTTAATGAAGGGACAAAGAGGCTCCTGTACATGTAGGTTAATGTAGGGACAAAGAGGCTCCTGTACATGTAGGTTAATGAAGGGACAAAGAGGCTCCTGTACATGTAGGTTAATGAAGGGACAAAGAGGCTCCTGTACATGTAGGTTAATGAAGGGACAAAGAGGCTCCTGTACATGTAGGTTAATGAAGGGACAGAGGCTCCTGTACATGTAGGTTAATGAAGTCACAAAGAGGCTGTGTACATGTAGGTTAATGAAGGGACAGAGGCTCCTGTACATGTAGGTTAATGAAGGGACAAAGAGGCTTCTGTACATGTAGGTTAATGAAGGGACAGAGGCTCCTGTACATGTAGGTTAATGAAGGGACAAAGAGGCTCTTGTACATGTAGGTTAATGAAGGGACAGAGGCTCCTGTACATGTAGGTTAATGAAGGGACAAAGAGGCTCCTGTACATGTAGGTTAATGAAGGGACAAAGAGGCTCCTGTACATGTAGGTTAATGTAGGGACAAAGAGGCTCCTGTACATGTAGGTTAATGAAGGGACAGAGGCTCCTGTACATGTAGGTTAATGAAGGGACAGAGGCTCCTGTACATGTAGGTTAATGAAGGGACAAAGAGGCTCCTGTACATGTAGGTTAATGAAGGGACAGAGGCTCCTGTACATGTAGGTTAATGAAGGGACAGAGGCTCCTGTACATGTAGGTTAATGAAGGGACAAAGAGGCTCCTGTACATGTAGGTTAATGAAGGGACAGAGGCTCCTGTACATGTAGGTTAATGAAGGGACAAAGAGGCTCTTGTACATGTAGGTTAATGAAGGGACAGAGGCTCCTGTACATGTAGGTTAATGAAGGGACAGAGGCTCCTGTACATGTAGGTTAATGAAGGGACAAAGAGGCTCTTGTACATGTAGGTTAATGAAGGGACAGAGGCTCCTGTACATGTAGGTTAATGAAGGGACAGAGGGTACATGTAGGTTAAGAGGCTCCTGTACATGTAGGTTAATGAAGGGACAAAGAGGCTCCAAGTTGAACACACACCATCAGGTCGATAAGGAAATGAACACACCAAGGTCAGGTCAAACGATAATCCGGAAAGTTGAATACACCATGGTCAGGATCAGCCGTCGATAATCCGGAAAGTTGAACACACCAAGGTCAGGATCAGCCGTCGATAATCCGGAAAGTTGAACACACCAAGGTCAGGATCAGCCGTCGATAATCCGGAAAGTTGAACACACCAAAGTCAGGATCAAATGTCGATAATCCGGAAAGTTGAACACACCAAGGTCAGGATCAGCCGTCGATAATCCGGAAAGTTGAACACACCAAGGTCAGGATCAAACGTCGATAATCCGGAAAGTTGAATACACCAAGGTCAGGATCAGCCGTCGATAATCCGGAAAGTTGAACACACCAAGGTCAGGATCAAACGTCGATAATCCGGAAAGTTGAATACACCAAGGTCAGGATCAGCCGTCGATAATCCGGAAAGTTGAACACACCAAAGTCAGGATCAAATGTCGATAATCCGGAAAGTTGAACACACCATGGTCAGGATCAGCCGTCGATAATCCGGAAAGTTGAACACACCAAGGTCAGGATCAAACGTCGATAATCCGGAAAGTTGAATACACCAAGGTCAGGATCAGCCGTCGATAATCCGGAAAGTTGAACACACCAAGGTCAGGATCAAACGTCGATAATCCGGAAAGTTGAATACACCAAGGTCAGGATCAGCCGTCGATAATCCGGAAAGTTGAACACACCAAGGTCAGGATCAAACGTCGATAATGCGGAAAGTTGAATACACCAAGGTCAGGATCAGCCGTCGATAATTCGGAAAGTTGAATACACCAAGGTCAGGATCAGCCGTCGATAATCCGGAAAGTTGAACACACCAAAGTCAGGATCAAACGTCGATAATCCGGAAAGTTGAACACACCAAGGTCAGGATCAAACGTCGATAATCCGGAAAGTAATTACATAAATATAAGTTCTTATTAATAATTTTCATCGTTCGGTCTGCTACAAAAGAGAACTATTTCTGACTGTCGTGTTTCAGTTCCAATGTGTCGGGTAAACGCAAAAAATGGCAAGTTTTTTACAACTGGTTTATAGAGTTACTTCCCTTCTCATGTATTTCGAGTAAGTTGGCCTTTCACTGTTGGGGTTCCCAGCATTCTCTTGGCTTTCATACTTGGCTGTACTGTAAACATCGAAAACAATCTAAAATTATGTGACAAAAAGAGCTTGTCACAGCTAGAGAATGTAATGAACAGAAAGTAAAGAGATGTATTGGATCTCTGGAGATGACACGATCAATGTGTCAACCTCACCACACAGAATCAACAACAAAATACCAATATGTCAACATTATCATAATCCAAACTCAAATTCAATAAAACTAGGACAGAAACAACAAAATACCAACATGTCAACATTATCATAATCCAAACTCAAATTCAATAAAACTAGTGCAGAAACAACAAAATACCAACATGTCAACATTATCATAATCCAAACTCAAATTCAATCAAACTAGTGCAGAAACAACAAAATACCAACATGTCAACATTATCATAATCCAAACTCAAATTCAATAAAACTAGGACAGAAATAACAAAATACCAACATGTCAACATTATCATAATCCAAACTCAAATTCAATAAAACTAGGACAGAAACAACAAAATACCAACATGTCAACATTATCATAATCCAAACTCAAATTCAATAAAACTAGTGCAGAAACAACAAAATACCAACATGTCAACATTATCATAATCCAAACTCAAATTCAATAAAAATTTCAATAAAGGGGTAAAACGTTTACCCACTCAAATTCAATAAAACTAGTGCAGAAACAACAAAATACCAACAGACTCAAATTCAATAAAAATTTCTTGAAAAAGTACAAGAAACGTCTTCTGCTTCTTGTTACCCAAAGTAACCAAGAATTACATTCACGCCCTGCGTCCGTGGTCCGTCGTCCGTCCGTAAACAATTCTTGTTACCGCTATTTCTGGAAAAGTACTGGATGGATCTTTCTCAAATTTCATATGCAGGTTCCCCTTGGTCCCTAGTTGTGCATTGTACCTTTTTTGGATTGATTCGAATTCAAGATGGCCGACAGGTGGCCGTCTTGGATTTTGAGAGTAAAATCTTGTTACCGCTATTTCTTGGAAAGTATTAGATGGATCTTTCTCAAATTTCATATGCAGGTTCCCCTTGGTCCTTAGTTGTGCATTGTACCTTTTTTGGACTAATTTGAAATCAAGGTGGCCCACAGGCAGCCATCTTGGATGTCGACAGTAATATAGCACAAGCATATTATCCATTATCCACCTGTTACTGACTGCTATCTAATAATACTTTGGGATCTTTTTCAAATGATATTTGCTAATAGGTGCTTAATAAAAATATCTTGTGCCATCATTGAGTACATTCAATGAAGGCCAGTTCATGAATATTTACAACACCTGTAAAAAAACAAAAAAAAAATAAACAAATCTTCAAGAACTGAAATCAGATCCTCAAATGGTGGGCGCCAAGATCCCTCTGGGATCTCTTGTTCATATTACCATCAAATGGCAGACTGTTGAAATCGCCCTGCTTCGTCCGTCCGTTTGTCGTTAACAGGTCTTGCTATCGTTATTTCTTGATCAGTAATAAACTGGTGATCTACATATCAAGTCTTTCCTTGTCCCTTACATAAACATGTTCATTTTTTGGACTGATTTAAGAAACAACATGTCCGACAGACGGCCCTCTTGATTTTCAATATTATATGTTAAAATTAGTTTCTAGTTCTAATGGATAAACTTATCCTTGGTCATATTAGTTGCTATCTAAATGGATATAATTATAAAATAGTGTGTAACCATAAAATTCATTTACCTGTCAATACAGCACAAGAATAATACCAAATTTGTGGAGAGGTAGGAAAAATATGCGATAACGGGAACCGAAATTATTTTGGATTATTTTGTCATGTTTAATGACAACGGAAGGGCCTGGCCGTTCCCTGTTATGAATTAACACATGCAAGTTGTCACACAAGTACAGTTATCTAGTGTAGTGCTAAACTTGTTACACAAGTTTGTAAAATTATTAGGTTATCGTGTGTTGTTCTCTCTAGCTTGGATATATCGAGGTAAAATCACACAGGAAATAAATATCATTTTCAAACACAATGCGCATCTTGCGTCACAAAATCCAATATAATAGAATTTTTCATCACAATGTCGGTGAATAGATAAGACCGCTCTCCACCTGACAGGGTCACACTTGTAGTGGCTAAGATTGTGTCATACAATTTGGACCTCTCCTTATCAATATTAACATATAGAGATCCGAAAACGACCATGACACGAGACATCGTGTGTTACTGTGTTGGTAGGTAGCCGATACGTTATGTCTCGTCCTGACACCAGACGTCGTGTGTTACTGTGTTAGTAGGTAGTCGGTACGTTATGTCTCGTCCTGACACCAGACGTCGTGTGTTACTGTGTTGGTAGGTAGCCGGTACGTTATGTCTCGTCCTGACACGAGACATCGTGAGTTACTGTGTTGGTAGATAGCCGGTACGTTATGTCTCGTCCTGACACCAGACGTCGTGTGTTACTGTGTTGGTAGGTAGCCGGTACGTTATGTCTCGTCCTGACACCAGATGTCGTGTGTTACTGTGTCGGTAGGTAGCCGGTACGTAATGTCTCGTTCTGACACCAGAAGTCGTGTGTTACTGTGTCGGTAGGTAGCCGGTACGTTGTCTCGTCCTGACACTAGATGTCGTGTGTTACTGTGTTGGTAGGTAGCCGGTACGTTATGTCTCGTCCAGACACCAGACGTCGTGTGTTACTGTGTCGGTAGGTAGCCGGTACGTTATGTCTCGTCCTGACACCAGACGTCGTGTGTTACTGTGTTGGTAGGTAGCCGGTACATTATGTTTCGTCCTAACAAGAGACATCGTGTGTTACTGTGTTGGTAGGTAGTCGGTACGTTATGTCTCGTCCTGACACCAGACGTCGTGTGTTACTGTGTTGGTAGGTAATCGGTACGTTATGTCTCGTCCAGACACCAGACGTCGTGTGTTACTGTGTCGGTAGGTAGCCGGTACGTTATGTCTCGTCCTGACACCAGACGTCGTGTGTTACTGTGTTGGTAGGTAGCCGGTACATTATGTTTCGTCCTAACAAGAGACATCGTGTGTTACTGTGTTGGTAGGTAGTCGGTACGTTATGTCTCGTCCTGACACCAGACGTCGTGTGTTACTGTGTTGGTAGGTAATCGGTACGTTATGTCTCGTCCTGACACCAGACGTCGTGTGTTAATGTGTTGGTAGGTAGCCGGTACGTTATGTTTCGTCCTAACAAGAGACATCGTGTGTTACTGTGTTGGTAGGTAGTCGGTACGTTATGTCTCGTCCTGACACCAGAAGTCGTGTGTTACTGTGTTGGTAGGTAGTCGGTACGTTATGTCTCGTCCTGACACCAGACGTCGTGTGGTAATGTGTTGGTAGGTAGCCGGTACGTTATGTTTCGTCCTAACAAGAGACATCGTGTGTTACTGTGTTGGTAGGTAGTCGGTACGTTATGTCTCGTCCTGACACCAGACGTCGTGTGTTACTGTGTTGGTAGGTAGTCGGTACGTTATGTCTCGTCCTGACACCAGACGTCGTGTGTTACTGTGTTGGTAGGTAGCCGGTACGTTATGTTTCGTCCTAACAAGAGACATCGTGTGTTACTGTGTTGGTAGGTAGTCGGTACGTTATGTCTCGTCCTGACACCAGACGTCGTGTGTTACTGTGTTGGTAGGTAGTCGGTACGTTATGTCTCGTCCTGACACCAGACGTCGTGTGTTAATGTGTTTGTAGGTAGTCGGTACGCTATGTCTCGTCCTGACACCAGACGTCGTGTGTTAATGTGTTTGGTAGGTAGTCGGTACGTTATGTCTCGTCCTGACACCAGACGTCGTGTGTTACTGTGTTGGTAGGTAGTCGGTACGTTATGTCTCGTCCTGACACCAGACGTCGTGTGTTACTGTGTTGGTAGGTAGTCGGTACGTTATGTCTCGTCCTGACACCAGACGTCGTGTGTTACTGTGTTGGTAGGTAGTCGGTACGTTATGTCTCGTCCTGACACCAGACGTCGTGTGTTACTGTGTTGGTAGGTAGTCGGTACGTTATGTCTCGTCCTGACACCAGACGTCGTGTGTTACTGTGTTGGTAGGTAGCCGGTACGTTATGTCTCGTCCTGACACCAGACGTCGTGTGTTACTGTGTTGGTAGGTAGTCGGTACGTTATGTCTCGTCCTGACACCAGACGTCGTGTGTTACTGTGTTGGTAGGTAGTCGGTACGTTACGTCTCGTCTTGACACCAGACGTCGATTTTTTTTTTGTGCAAAGAAAAGAGGAAGAGAAGAATGTAAACTGATGCTTTAAATTTTTTTTTTATATATAGAAATGTATATTACACATGTATATAGTAAATGAATGTTGATATTATTCCATCACTACACATACACACTTACAATACTCAGAAATCCGACTTAAAGCAAACGAAGACAACGTACAGGTGCAACACAAATATATCACAATTCCATTCGAAAATTACTGATGAACATGAGAATGACATTTTTTGACAGGCTTTTCCTTGATCAGTATTTTTTCGTCCGTCGCCGTAGCTGGACAAGTCTGCGACTCGTCGTTTTTACCCAGAAATGCGTAAGTGTATGATCACGTGACAGCAAATGTCGTTATGGTTACAAAAAACCCATTTATTACTTTCCATTGCATTAAGTGATTGTTGTTTTAAGAAATGTGTTTGTTTGAAGACGCTGAGCGTGATACGTGTAAGAACACACAATGTTACGAAAATTTAACAATATTTGAGGCTTAGTATTCTACGTCATTTCAGATCATACACCAACAAGTTTTACAATGAAGGAACCAATGTGTGGCTGAACCCTGGACGCGGTTTTTATCACAAACTCATCACCTCGTCAAATACGACCGAGTTTGAAGCGATACAGGTAAGATTATAGGTAAACATCAACACAGTCACGTGAAAACAACCTTAGAATACAAATTCAAGAATATCGCCAATCGTTTCCGTGTGTTGTAAGCTATTTAACGGTATTCTGTTTTCTCTTCAAACCGTGAAAACACAGAATTGAGACTTATTTTCCACACTGAACTCATTCGACTGTATATTTTCTTCCATATACCCCTATTTCACCAGTGAAAAAAAATGATATTGTCGTCCTGAAAAGTGAGAATTATATGATTTCTTTATTTAGTATTGCACTTGTAGAAATCAAACTTTGAACACATATTTTAACATAAAACTATTATTAATGGCTCTTATCAACGATGAAATGTTAAACAATACGAACAAATAAATAAATTGAAAAAGAAAATTACCTAGTAAAGTGTTAAGATATCTTGGCCTGTTTATATTCAGGAGTCCATACTGGACTGCTGGAGGACACAAGACGGTACCACACTGCTGCTACGTCTGTATCTATTGGATGACAGCGTTTCAGGCGCTCAACTTACTTCAGACTTCCTGGATAGAATCCGGCATGACATGGCTACGGTACACAAGGCTGGGTGGAATGTTATAGTTAGGTTTATGTATAACACAGTAAGTATAAAATCAGAAATAGAAATATCTGTAAGAGAGATGGCTGGTTCCCCAGCTGAAATACGCGTTTAAAATTATATGCGAGTTATCTCCCTTTACCTACGTGTCTTTGATTACAGTTTCCCTGTACCACATTGAAACGAACGTAAGCCAATATATATTTAATTCTTCTATTTAATGTGCGTTTACAGTCGATATAAAACGATTGCTCACGCGCATTGAACTAACTACATAAAAGTTTAATAACTGATTCGAAAATTAGCCTTGATCATTGTGAGTATAAAAGATGAGTACTACGTACTCATTCATTTGTTTCTAACAGAGGTCATTATTATAATTTCAATGTCTTCGCTAGAATTCGAACCTTAGATCCCTGGCTTACTGGTGTGACCTTCAAGCGACCGAGCCAAAGAGGAGTTCTCTCTAGCCGAGCAGTATATAAATTTTTCTGTTAGTATTTTACCATGGTTATAATTTTCATTTTGAAGGGTCAGCATTCGATTTCTAATTCGAAAACCTCGGAGCCAACGGTTGATATAATAGCAGCACATATTGAACAATTAGCTGTCATATTCCAAGGATTTGAAGGGGTCATAACATCAATACAGGCAGGTTTTCTTGGACGATCAGGTCTGTATAAAACTCAGTATAATAGTGATACAGTCGATTTTTTTAAGGAAATTAGGTCTGTATAAAACTCGGTATAATAGTGATACGGTCGAGTTTTCTAGGGGAATTAAGTCTGTATAAAACTCGGTATAATAGTGATACAGTCGAGTTTTCTAGGGGAGTTAGGTCTGTATAAAACTCAGTACAATAGTGATACGGTCGAGTTTTCTAGGGGAATTTGGTCTGTAAAAAACTCGGTATAATAGTGATACAGTCGAGTTTTCTAGGGGAATTAGGTCTGTATGACACGGTATGATAATGATACAGTCGAGTTTTCTAGGGGAATTAGGTCTGTAAAAAACTCGGTATAATAGTGATACAGTCGAGTTTTCTAGGGGAATTAGGTCTGTAAAAAACTCGGTATAATAGTGATACAGTCGAGTTTTCTAGGGGAATTAGGTCTGTATGACACGGTATGATAATGATACAGTCGAGTTTTCTAGGGGAATTAGGTCTGTAAAAAACTCGGTATATTAGTGATACAGTCGAGTTTTCTAGGGGAATTAGGTCTGTATGACACGGTATAATAGTGATACAGTCGAGTTTTCTAGGGGAATTAAGTCTGTATGACACGGTATGATAATGATACAGTCGAGTTTTCTAGGGGAATTAGGTCTGTATGACACGGTATAATAGTGATACAGTCGAGTTTTCTAGGGGAATTAGGTCTGTATGACACGGTATGATAATGATACAGTCGAGTTTTCTAGGGGAATTAGGTCTGTAAAAAACTCGGTATAATAGTGATACAGTCGAGTTTTCTAGGGGAATTGAGTCTGTATGACACGGTATAATAGTGATACAGTCGAGTTTTCTAGGGGAATTAGGTCTGTATGACACGGTATGATAATGATACAGTCGAGTTTTCTAGGGGAATTAGGTCTGTATGACACGGTATGATAATGATACAGTCGAGTTTTCTAGGGGAATTAGGTCTGTATGACACGGTATAATAGTGATACAGTCGAGTTTTCTAGGGGAATTAGGTCTGTATGACACGGTATAATAGTGATACAGTCGAGTTTTCTAGGGGAATTAGGTCTGTATGACACGGTATGATAATGATACAGTCGAGTTTTCTAGGGGAATTAGGTCTGTTTGACACGGTATGATAATGATACAAGATATTTTTTTAAGTGGAACATCATGATTTTATGCTTGTGTTTGTTTTCTCGATCGTTTCTGCAGGTTGTTGGTACGAACCAAGTGCTGCCGGTGGTTCTTTCCCGCCAAAAACAACTTACACACAGTTGCTCGACGCATTGTTTAAGTCTGTACCAACATCACTGTGAGTCCCTTTTTTCATTAAATAGAACAAAATGTCTCGTTTATTGCAATCGATCCAAGATTTTAGTAAAGGGGGTAGAGGTTGGTGAGGGGAGGGGGTGAGAGGGGGAAGGGTGAGATGTCGGAAACTTTTTAACTGTATACCAAAATAAGGTTTCTTATAGCTTGACCAAATCTTCGTCAACCTTTTATCTGAATTCAAATAACTTTTACTGACATTTGGTGTTTATACCAATGATGTTTTCACTATTGAAAAACAGGATTTATAATTATAGAAATAAAAAAAATATTAAAATAAAGTTACTTTTTCTCAGTTAAAACACGACGGTTTAATATAGCAGGGAAATTTAGTCACTGGCGGGAAAATGACTACATAGTACTTTCAATTCTAAGGGTTAGAACGTTGACCCACGTGACCTCAGATGAAAATCCAGGGATGTGTTTCCACGCTCCCTACCTGTGGCGGTATGTGTTTCTCGGGAAACCGAATATATTCCTACCCGTGGCGGTTTGTGTTTCCCGGGAAGCCGAGTATATTACTACTCGTGGTGGTTTGTGTTTCCCGGGAAGCCGAGTATATTACTACCCGTGGTGGTTTGTGTTTCCCGGGAAGCCGAGTATATTCCTACCCGTGGCGGTTTGTGTTTCCCGGGAAGCCAATATTCTCACTACCCTTGGCGGTCTCGGGAAACCGAGAATCTCCTTACCTGTGGCGGTTTGTGTCTCTCGGGAAACCGAGAATCGCCTTACCTGTGGCGGTTTGTGTCTCTCGGGAAACCGAGAATCTCCTTACCCGTGGCGGTTTGTGTTTCCCGGGAAGCCGAAAATCTCCCCACCCGTGGCGGTTTGTGTTTCCCGGGAAGCCGAGTATATTTCTATCCGTGGCGGTTTGTTTCTCGGGAAGCTTAGAAACGGACCAATCTTTGCTGATATGTCCTCAGACAAATATTTAAAAATAAACAAACAAAACACCAAACTGCTTTTGAAGGCATGTGGTGGGTCTCCCGTATTTTGTTCATTTAATGACGTCCAAGCGTTCTGGTTTGTCGTTTTGATGACGTACACTTTCTGGTTTACTATGTAAGTCCTATACAGGTACCCAAGCCGGAGTATAAACAAGAGTACCTGGGGCCAATGAGTACCTCCTACCTCGATGTCATTACCAATAGCGACAAACTACGTGTAGGTAGGTCATTTGAAATCAGTGTTAAATGACTGAGGCTGATTTTTACGTTTTTAGTAATCAGGTATCGATAAAGATATATTATTTTGCATCTGACCTTGATTTTGTGTGTCTGACCTTGACTTTGTGTAGCTGACTTTGGCGTTGTGCATCAGACATTGGATGTGTGTATTTGACCTTGACTTTGTGTATCTGACCTTGACTTCGACTTTGTGTATCTGACCTTGACTTCGACTTTGTGTATCTGACCTTGAATTCGTGTATCTAACTTTGAATTTGACTTTATGTATCTGACCTTGACTTTGTATATCTGACCCTGGCTTTACCTATCCGACCTATTCTTTTTCCACAACAATAAATTATGCCTTTCTCTGTCAGGGTTTTTCCGTGACTGCCTGCCAGGAAGCGACATCAATCATCAGATCAATGCGTTTCCTAGGTTGGACCCTACTTCTATATCAAATATGTCGTATCTGTCTATCGACACCAAATTTAACATCATGGGAGGCAGAACTTGTCATCCTGGCGACATCAGAAGCGGTCCGGAGTAAGTAAACTTAATATGAAGGACATATATTCATTAGCTTCTTAGACACGTGAACACAGACGGATGATATATAGAGAAACAAATAATTTCAAATCTAAATAAAACTGCTGACTTTCAGCTAAAATAAGTGGATGTTATTTACTATCGTTTCAGCCTGTGTACTGATTCCGTGAAGTTATTTCAGAAGATCCATATGACGTATCTAGATATAGAAGACCCAGCTGAAACACTTAAATATTACAAACAGCAAAATTGTTACAACAATATTCGTCAACGTCTCGGTTATCAACTGTTTCTACACACGGTACGTTCACCTACACACCATACGAATACACCTAATCACATTAATATGGTACTTGTGTAACTACATCTACACACGGTACTTACAGAGTCACTTCTAATCTTCACACGGTACTTACACACGTAACTAATCATCTACACACGGTGCTTACACACGTAACTAATCACCTACACACGGTACTTACACACGTAACTGATCATCTACACACGGTACTTACACACGTAACTGATCATCTACACACGGTACTTACAGTCGCCACTTGTCATCTACACACGGTACTTACACACATAACTAACCATCTACGCACGGTACTTATAGTCGCCACTTGGCATCTACACACGGTACTTACACACGTAACTAATCATCTACACACGGTGCTTACGCACATAACTAATCATCTACACACGGTACTTTCACACGTAACTGATCATCTACACACGGTACTTACAGTCGCCACTTGTCATCTACACACGGTACTTACACACATAACTAATCATCTTCACACGGTCCCTACTACCGTCACTTATCATCTACACACGGTCCCTACTACCGTCACTTATCATCTACACACGGTCCCTACTATCGTCACTTATCATCTACACACGGTCCCTACTACCGTCACTTATCATCTGCACACAATATTTTATATCCAGGTAAACCTTCCGACGGAGGCTGAGGCTGGTGGTTACATGTGTTTCCATGTGAGTTTAGTGAACAAAGGCTTCGCCACTCCCGCTCGTGACGTCCACGTTTTCCTCGTTCTCCAGCTCAACTCTACAGTGTAAGTACAAATGTCAGATTAACAGTGAATAACAACTGTATAGTCATTCTATAACCAAACATACATCCTGACAAGGTAGAATGGAACCATGTATCTGAAAAAGACCTGTGTGCTTTAAACTAGATGTGTGTGTATACGTGTTAACCCTACAAATTTCATCAATATTTTCGCTGTTGTCAACCAGGCACTATCTCCTAAAATGTATTCATCGCCCCTCGCGTCAATAGAACACAGACGGTTCCACCTTATGAAGGGTATAGGTTGGCCTCTCATGTCAAAGGGCACAGACGGTTCCACCTTATGAAGGGTATAGGTCGTCCCCTCACATCAACAGAACACAGACGGTTCCACCTTATGATAGGTACAGGTCGTCCCCTCAAATCAACAGAACACAGACGGTTCCACCTTATAAAGAGTACAGGTCGGGCCCTCATGTCAAAGGGCACAGACGGTTCCACCTTATGAAGGGTATAGGTCGGCCTCTCATGTCAAAGGGCACAGACGGTTCCACCTTATGAAGGGTATAGGTCGTCCCCTCACATCAACAGAACACAGACGGTTCCACCTTATGATAGGTACAGGTCGTTCCCTGAAATCAACAGAACACAGACGGTTCCACCTTATGAAGTGTACAGGTCGTCCCCTTACATCAACAGAACACAGACGGTTCCACTTTATGAAGAGTACAGGTTGCCCCCTCACGTCAACAGGACACAGACGGTTCCACCTTATGAAGGGTACAGGTCATCCCCTCACATCAACAGAACACAGACGGTTCCACCTTACGAATGGTACAGGTCGGCCTCTCATTCCAGCAGGGCACAGACGGTTCCACCTTATGAAGTGTACAGGTCGTCCCCTCACATCAACAGGACACAGACGGTTCCACTTTATGAAGAGTACAGGTCGTTCCCTCAAATCAACAGAACACAGACGGTACCACCTTATGAAGTGTACAGGTCGTCCCCTCACATCATCAGGACACAGACGGTTCCACTTTATGAAGAGTACAGGTCGCCCCCTCACGTCAACAGGGCACAGGCGGTTCCACACTATGAAAGTTGCAGGTCGGCCCCTCACGTCAACAGAACACAAAGGTTCCGCCCTATGAAGTGTACAGGTCGGCCCCTCACGTCAACAAAACACAGACGGTTCCACTCTGGAGAGGGTACAGGTCGCCGTTCGCGTCAATAGAACACAGACGATTTCGCCCTACGAAAGAAAAAGGTCGCCCCCTCACGTCAACAGGGCACAGACGGTTCCACCTTATGAAGAGTACAGGTCGCCCCCTCACGTCAACAGGACACAGACGGTTCCGCCTTATGAAGGGTACAGGTCGCCCCCTCACGTCAACAGAACACAGATGGTTCCACCTTATGAAGGGAACTGGTCGCCCCCTCACGTCCATAGAACACAGACGATTGCACCTTATGATAGGTACAAGTCGCCCCCTCACGTCAACAGAACACAGACGATTCCACCTTATGAAGAGTACAGGTTGCCCCCTCACGTCAACAGGACACTGACGGTTCTACCTTATGAAGGGTACAGGTCGCCCCCTCACGTCAACAGAACACAGATGGTTCCACCTTATGAAGGGAACTGGTCGCCCCCTCACGTCCATAGAACACAGACGATTGCACCTTATGATAGGTACAAGTCGCCCCCTCACGTCAACAGAACACAGACGATTCCACCTTATGAAGAGTACAGGTCGCCCCCTCACGTCAACAGGACACAGACGGTTCCACCTTATGAAGAGTACAGGTCGCCCCCTCACGTCAACAGGACACAGACGGTTCCGCCTTATGAAGAGTACAGGTCGCCCCCTCACGTCAACAGAACACAGACGGTTCCACCTTATGAAGAGTACAGGTCGCCCCCTCACGTCAACAGAACACAGACGGTTCCACTTTATGAAGAGTACAGGTCGCCCCCTCACGTCAACAGGACGCAGACGATTCCACCTTATGAAGGGTACTAGTCGGCCCCTCACGTCAACAGGACACAGACGGTTCCACCTTATGAAGGGTACAGGTCGCCCCCTCACGTCAACAAACACAGAATTTCCTCAATAAAACAACGCCTAGTGATAGGAAAAGTCGAGAAGAACAACCTTGTCATTTTTTTTCATTTGTTTCTGCAGAATGTACCAAGTTGATTTGCATGTCAAAGGGGAATCGGTAAAACTTTGGCAGCCCGGACATGTAGAAATACCTCTGGTTACGAAATCCTTCCAGCTGGTCCATGACATGCCTGCTGGACTTTACAAGGTACATATAAACACATTAATAACTATGCCATTCTTGCCTCTCCATTCAACATCATCTAGATTAATTCAGCTTAATCTGATCTTGCACGAAGACTCTCTGATCTTTTCTTAGCTTCATCTGATCTTTTTCAAGCTTTTTCTGATGTTGTCCTATATTTCATGATATCGGCCTGGGTCGTTTTGGTTTTGTCCTAGAGTTCTTGATCTCGACTTGGCTTTTTTGTCCTGCCCTATGATAATTTGATCTCGTCTTGTTTCTTTTCGGTTTTGTCCTAGATTTATTTGTTCTCGTTTTGGGCCGTTTTGGTCTTGCCCTAGATTTGTTTGATCTCGGCTTGCGTATTTTTGTCTTATCCTATGATAATTTAATCTCCGATTGGGGTATTTTGGTCTTGTCCTAGATTTAGTTGATATCGGCCTGGGTCGTTTTGGTCTTGTCCTATATTTATTTGATTTATTGCCTGAGGTTTATCCGAACCTGCCCAACGTTTATCTGATCTTGCTCTATGTTTAAATGAACTTGCCTAAAGTTTATTTGATCTTGTCCTTGGTTTTTTTCTTAACTTGCCCTAGGTTCACCTCGCACTTTCTGACCCTAAATGGCAGAATGATTCCAACTATTATATACTTCTCGGAGGTGAGTACCGGGGCAAACCTACAGCCGATCCTTCAACAGGACTCAACTTTATAGGCGAAGTTCAGGTAAGTTGTGAACTATCTGTTACGATCACATTGGGGCATAGTTATGAACGTATTTGCATTAATACCAAACCGACAAGATGTGAATTTTATGTTCAAAGTATTCTGTTTCAGATTCGCCCTTCCTCAGCCCATTCCTCCTCTACCCCTGCCTCCTCAGCCACGTTACCTCCAGGCTCGATGAGGCCATGGTCTGCCCTAGCGACCACACGACATCTTCGAGAATGGAAGGAAGGTTGGCGTTCTATTGTTTTCATTACCGATACTCTTAAAATTGATGTAAAACTGTCCCTATAAAGTGTTTCGAATGGAATATCATAAAAGGACTGAAGTTAAAGAAAAACAAAACAAAAACAAAACCAGCCCTCGTTTTATCTGCTAAAAAGACCTTTGCTTTGTAGTTGAACATTAAGTATGTATACATCTACTTAAGATACCACGAGTTCTTGTCTGACATTGAATTACTTCAACCGACAGGAGTTATCTCCCCTCCGAGTTGTGCCGCCTTGCTGCCCGGTAAGCCCACCACCACGGTACAACCTACAGGAAGCGGATCTTCAAGTCTCTTTGACCGTAAGGGCACTGGAATGTTAATCAGTGACTAAGGTTCTGTGTGATAGCTGACGGAAATGTCAGGTCATTTGTACAATTCGAGTATTTCAACACGATATTCTTCAGTCAGGCAGACACAAAGGGAGGGTGGGCTTTAAGTGACTACAGCTGGGCTTCAAGTGGGGTCACTAAGACCTCGGTCCATCTAACTGTACTTCCGATCTTGTTTTAGAAAGTTGTCCCGGTGTTTTCTCTAAAGAATCTACAAAAGACAGAGGTGAAAAACACATTGTATTGCATATTAAGAGTTAGATAAAGTAGAGTCAAACAGTGAATTTAACGGCATCATACAGCTGTTCTGTCCTTCAAGGGATCGTCAGTAATGCCAAGAGTCAGAATTTGGAAGAAATGTGTTATCTTTGTTGACCTGCTGAACGTGTTTATATCCTAAGGTTACGTGACATGTGATGACGTATATGTGACAGAAGTCTTGTTAATACTGATTCATGTGTTTATATCCTAAGGTTACGTGACATGTGATGACGTATAGGTGACAGAAGTCTTGTTAACACTGATTCATGTGTTTATATCCTAAGGTTACGTGACGTGTGATGACGTATAGGTGACAGAAGTCTTGTTAACACTGATCATGTGTTTATATCCTAAAGTTACGTGACGTGTGATGACGTATAGGTGACAGAAGTCTTGTTAACACTGATTCATGTGTTTATATCCTAAAGTTACGTGACATGTGATGACGTATAGGTGACAGAAGTCTTGTTAACACTGATTCATGTGTTTATATCCTAAGGTTACGTGACGTGTGATGAGGTGGAGGTGACAGAAGTCTTGTTAACACTGGTGCATGTGTTTATATCCTAAGGTTACGTGACGTGTGGTGAGGTGGAGGTGACAGAAGTCTTGTTAACACTGATGCATGTGTTTATATCCTAAGGTTACGTGACGTGTGATGAGGTGGAGGTGACAGAAGTCTTGTTAACACTGATTCATGTGTTTATATCCTAAGGTTACGTGACGTGTGATGAGGTGGAGGTGACGAAAGCCTTGCTTCAGTACACCTACTTCAACTCCTCTCTAGCTCTCCCCTGTCCAGATACAAATCCACACTCCTCAGAGGCGATATTACAGCGATTCTGTCACGCGCAACCAGCCTCCAGATGGTCACCTGTGACTGGTGTTAAGGTAAAACGCATTCATATGTATATATATATTATCATTTAAATCGTACGAGAACAAAGGAGGAGAAAAACGAAAAGGGAAAAAGTAACCAGATTGTAACATTAACACCTGTGATGTTTTTGTACAGGTGATTGACCACTGTGTTCAGATAAAGTTTACACCTGTGATGTTTTTGTACAGGTGATTGACCACTGTGTTCAGATAAAGTTTACACCTGTGATGTTTTTGTACAGGTGATTGACCACTGTGTTCAGATAAAGTTTACACCTGTGATGTTTTTGTACAGGTGATTGACCACTGTGTTCAGATAAAGTTTACACCTGTGATGTTTTGTACAGGTGATTGACCACTGTGATGAGATAAAGTTTACACCTGTGATGTTTTTGTACAGGTGATTGACCACTGTGACGAGATAAAGTTTACACCTGTGATGTTTTTGTACAGGTGATTGACCACTGTGTTCAGATAAAGTTTACACCTGTGATGTTTTTGTACAGGTGATTGACCACTGTGACGAGATAAAGTTTACACCTGTGATGTTTTTGTACAGGTGATTGACCACTGTGACGAGATAAAGTTTACACCTGTGATGTTTTTGTACAGGTGATTGACCACTGTGTGTGACGAGATAAAGTTTACACCTGTGATGTTTTTGTACAGGTGATTGACCACTGTGACGAGATAAAGTTTACACCTGTGATGTTTTTGTACAGGTGATTGACCACTGTGTTGAGATAAAGTTTACACCACAGGTGTGACCACTGTGACGAGATAAAGTTTACACCTGTGATGTTTTTGTACAGGTGATTGACCACTGTGACGAGATAAAGTTTACACCTGTGATGTTTTTGTACAGGTGATTGACCACTGTGTTGAGATAAAGTTTACACCTGTGATGTTTTTGTACAGGTGATTGACCACTGTGACGAGATAAAGTTTACACCTGTGATGTTTTTGTACAGGTGATTGACCACTGTGACGAGATAAAGTTTACACCTGTGATGTTTTTGTACAGGTGATTGACCACTGTGACGAGATAAAGTTTACACCTGTGATGTTTTTGTACAGGTGATTGACCACTGTGTTGAGATAAAGTTTACACCTGTGATGTTTTTGTACAGGTGATTGACCACTGTGTTGAGATAAAGTTTACACCTGTGATGTTTTTGTACAGGTGATTGACCACTGTGACGAGATAAAGTTTACACCTGTGATGTTTTTGTACAGGTGATTGACCACTGTGACGAGATAAAGTTTACACCTGTGATGTTTTTGTACAGGTGATTGACCACTGTGTTGAGATAAAGTTTACACCTGTGATGTTTTTGTACAGGTGATTGACCACTGTGACGAGATAAAGTTTACACCTGTGATGTTTTTGTACAGGTGATTGACCACTGTGTTGAGATAAAGTTTACACCTGTGATGTTTTTGTACAGGTGATTGACCACTGTGACGAGATAAAGTTTACACCTGTGATGTTTTTGTACAGGTGATTGACCACTGTGACGAGATAAAGTTTACACCTGTGATGTTTTTGTACAGGTGATTGACCACTGTGTTCAGGTAAAGTTTACACCTGTGATGTTTTTGTACAGGTGATTGACCACTGTGACGAGATAAAGTTTACACCTGTGATGTTTTTGTACAGGTGATTGACCACTGTGACGAGATAAAGTTTACACCTGTGTTGTTTTTGTACAGGTGATTGACCACTGTGACGAGATAAAGTTTACACCTGTGATGTTTTTGTACAGGTGATTGACCACTGTGTTGAGATAAAGTTTACACCTGTGATGTTTTTGTACAGGTGATTGACCGAGATAAAGTTTACACCTGTGATGTTTTTGTACAGGTGATTGACCACTGTGACGAGATAAAGTTTACACCTGTGATGTTTTTGTACAGGTGATTGACCACTGTGTTGAGATAAAGTTTACACCTGTGATGTTTTTGTACAGGTGATTGACCACTGTGACGAGATAAAGTTTACACCTGTGATGTTTTTGTACAGGTGATTGACCACTGTGACGAGATAAAGTTTACACCTGTGATGTTTTTGTACAGGTGATTGACCACTGTGACGAGATAAAGTTTACACCTGTGATGTTTTTGTACAGGTGATTGACCACTGTGACGAGATAAAGTTTACACCTGTGATGTTTTTGTACAGGTGATTGACCACTGTGACGAGATAAAGTTTACACCCACTGTGTGATAAAGTTTACACCTGTGACTGTGACTGTGAGATAAAGTTTACACCTGTGATGTTTTTGTACAGGTGATTGACCACTGTGACGAGATAAAGTTTACACCTGTGATGTTTTTTTACAGGTGATTGACCACTGTGACGAGATAAAGTTTACACCTGTGATGTTTTTGTACAGGTGATCGACCACTGTGACGAGATAAAGTTTACACCTGTGATGTTTTTGTACAGGTGATTGACCACTGTGACGAGATAAAGTTTACACCTGTGATGTTTTTGTACAGGTGATTGACCACTGTGACGAGATAAAGTTTACACCTGTGATGTTTTTGTACAGGTGATTGACCACTGTGACGAGATAAAGTTTACACCTGTGATGTTTTTGTACAGGTGATTGACCACTGTGTTGAGATAAAGTTTACACCTGTGATGTTTTTGTACAGGTGATTGACCGCTGTGTTGAGATAAAGTTTACACCTGTGATGTTTTTGTACAGGTGATTGACCGCTGTGTTGAGATAAAGTTTACACCGGTGATGTTTTTGTACAGGTGACTGACCACTGTGACGAGATAAAGTTTACACCTGTGATGTTTTTGCACAGGTGATTGACCACTGTGACGAGATAGCAAAGTTTACACCTGTCGCGTTTTTTAAATCTCTCCTTGGCGTGTCTGTTTACGACCGTGGCCTGAACGATGGTATGGCTGGCGTCTTCTTCGGTTGTGTCAAAAAGAATGGAATTCTTAAAAGTATCAAGGTAAAATCTATTGATACTTTTCGATAGCATTTCTTATCTCTCTTTTTTTTTTAAATGAAATTTAATGAATGAAAGTAATGAAAAATAATTGAATATTTGAATTTAGATGTAGAAAAAGTTATGTCAACACGATGAAACCGTCTTTTGTTAAAGTTTTAAACCCCGTGCTAAATTCTGAAACATTGTCCATGGAGTTGAGATAATTGTGTTGTCATTACACGGGAGTGGTTTTCCTCATATTCTCCGATCGTAGTATATGGAAAGTTGTCGTAAACAACAACATCGTGTCACTATAAATAGCCAGTAAAAACATCCAATAAAACATATGACCTTTAAAAAAATAAAGTACATGTTTCAATGGGAAAAAATCTACTTCTGATGAACACATGTGAAAGGTTTCACCAATGGAAACAAATGGAACACAAATGCTTCAATTATCAAGTTTTTTTTTATTTTATCAACAATATATGACATTTTTTTTCCATTTTCAATAACCTTGCTAATGGTTCGAATTTCATAATTGTCACACGTGTCTCTATCAAATAAAAATGAATTAAAACAAAATGTATTTCTTAAATATAGCAAATTAACTCATATTATGAAAGAAAAGTAGCGATATGAATTTCGTAAAACGTAATTAAATATTATCTATCAACAGGTTGGTATCCAGCTGTGTGGTTTTCCATTCGATGTCACCCTCATCCATCCCGGCGACGTTGACCTTCAGTCTCTGTACATCGTCAACACTTTATAGTTCTAACACGCTGTTTGATTACACAAATAAACACGTTTGATATTCTGAAATGTCCATTATCAATGTTTTCTGTTACAGACTATTTTCTTCTATAACATCCACACACATAGATTTTACTTTGAATTATTGGAGTACTGAAAAAACATAAATTTTCGATGGGGAATTTTTTTTTTTATTTCGGGAGTCCCGCAATCTACGAGTCCATGTCCATCAATTGATTATGTTAGTAAAAGTAGATCTAATGACCTACACTCATCCACGAAATTGAGTGTCCACAAAAGAGTATTATTTTTGAAAACTTCAAAATTTAAGCCCCACGAAAATTTATTACTTAACATGATATCGATACGTCACACTCTCGGGTTGTACTGAGACCTTGTTTTATCGTGCAGTGTGAAAATCATCTCAGATAACTGTTGTCGTCCAGAATAATCACCATGTCTTTACTGAACATGAACGTCATCTCTTTAACATCTCATGGCACATGGCATATCGCGTCATCCGTCGGTCGGTCCGTTCGTCCAGCCGTCCGCCCGTCAACTTTGTTTCATAAAAAACACAACTAGTCATAAATGACCGACATGATTTTGACCAGATTTGGTCAGAAGCATTCTTGCGGGAAGGGGAAGAAATTTTGTATAAATATTGAGTCCTGGCTCCCAGGGGCCCGAGGGGTGGGGCCTAAAAGGGGGATATTGGAAAATCTTTCTCCTCTTGTAGGAATGACTTCAAGCTTAAATGTCAAATGGCTGTAATATCACGTTTCCTCAATTGTTATGAAGCAACACTTTCAGTGTCTATTTCGTAACTTTTGAATGTTGTAACCAAGTTTAGCCAGAATGATCATACAGGCCTTTTTCACAAGGAGGAGGATATCCTTCCCTGGGATTTAAAAGGGGAATACTTTCCCTTTTTAGCAAGTCAGCATTAGGAGCTTTTAGTCAGAGTTGGTCAGCCATAATACATATTTATTAGGTTCCCTTGTGAAATGATTCACTGGTCAACAAAATAAATATTCGCATTTCAAGAACAAAAAAGAGGAAAGAAAAAGACCAAACTCACAACCTTAATCCTCCATTGTTGGATGTTTATGAATATTTGTGAAATGATTCTGAAGGTATAAAATGTTCATATTGTACAATTTTTATGTATGGTTATCATGATAGGGATGTTTGATGGTCCATCTAGTGTACATTTTACTTGCCCAGAGATCTTCTCCTGAAGTTTTTCTCGGTTGCATTTGAAGATTCCAATGAAATGTAAATCTGTTCGAAATTGAGACCATGAATATTACTTAACACTTAGGATAAGAAAACCCTTGGTATGGTGAAACTGTCTCAATTTTGGAAGACTTCTTTGTAGCCTGTTTAAATCTGTCTATGACTGAAAATGAATTTTTATGTTCAGCACCATTGATGTTTTCTTGTCTCAGCTTCTAGAAGCAATGATTATTTAGTGGGATGTGCATCAGACTTTAAAGTTTAGAGGTGGCAAACTTAGCATCAAGCTGACAGGCGATGATATTGAACACCTGAACAGACTGACTGCTGATGGTGATGCTGTCAGATGGACACTTTTCAGGTTTAAATTCCAAGATGTTTTTTCATCATTTCTTTGAAAATAGGACGTCATATTGTACACAATAGACATATAACAGTGACACATTTGATTAGATTGATCTTTAATAAATAGTATATTTACAAATTCACTCATTTTACAGTGCAGTAATGCTACAAATTAATGTACAACAGAATTGGGTTTTTCATGTTATAGTACAAAATGTATTGGAAAATTGATAGTTTTTAGGTTCCTACTGAAGTAAACAGGATGTATCAGGTATAAAACTATTGTTTCCATTTGTAATGGCATCCTTCGGGTATCACTGGAAATAAAACAAAAAATAAACTATTCCTGGAGAATGAAATGACCTAAATAAGAGAAGAGAGTAGATATAACCTGGTGCCCACCATCATTACTACTTCTATAGCATTTAGATTTTTTTTCTCTACTTTCTTCTTATTTGTTTCTACCTATTTCTGATATATTGTCACGTGAATGATATAAATATATTTACATGTTAATATTATTCATCAAGGGAAACTTTTGTATGAAATTTGAAAAAACATCCAGTGCATCTTGGGAAATACTGAATACAATGTATAACAATCATGGAGACAGGGATCAAACCAGGAATGTCACCTATCAGCTATTTTATTTCTCAAAATTATGTGATTAAAGGGGAACAATCTACAAAGTTTGAGAAAAATCTAGTCGTTGCTTTCTGAAGACTAAGTGAACTTAATCTTTTTTAATTGTAAGTGGGTTTCTGTGGGTCATTTTGTTATTCTGTCAAAATCCAAGATTGCAGCTTTCCCACCAAAATGACTGACCATATCTCAAAAATAAACTCAGTTCACATAGACAATCTTACATCTCAAAATTTTTGTACTTTTAGAGGAATGTTGTTAAAAAACCTTAAACCTTATGGCCGCATTTTCAGAGCTGGCCACATTTTCCAAGATGGCTACATTTTGGCTATTTTTTTTTAAAGCAGGTTCCATATACAACAGGTAAAATTGGGGATTAATTTGAACATACCTACAAAATTTGAGAAAGTCCATAATAGCCTTTAACTGTGAAAATCCAAGAGGGCTACCATTTAGTACAACTAAGTGCCAACGGGAACCTATATAAATAGAAAGACCCATACAGAAGTGCTCAAGATATAGAAGTAAAAAGGAGTTATTGAAAGTCGGTCAGATAAGATGGATCACAGACCCAAGGTGACCTAACTGATGAGATGGTGGGCTGATAAGTTAAGGTTAAAATGATTACATTTGTTCGATGAGGAAACATTTTAGAAACAAACAGTTTGCCATCATTAATATAGAGTTACTTCACAGCTTGACAATTTTAACAGTCAATATTGTTTTTTTTCCCATTTTAATCATGATATAAGTGAACAGGTGGGAGAACTAACCTTTGACCCAGTAATTGCTATTGACTCAATGTAAAACTTAAAGAATATCTGATAGCAGTATCTACATTGTAACAGTGTCTGCAGAATACAGTATTAATATTTAACAAAGTTCACTTATTACATATGATTATAGATGAAAAGGCATCGCTCTTCTGATCAATAAAACTGAAAGTGGATCAAATCATGAAAGAATAATACAGGAAAGTTTGGAACAAAGCACTAATAATTCCCTATTGTATACTTTGTACATATCACAGATTTAATGCTTCAATCATTTCAACATGTCCTCAGGCTAACAGTTTCTGTAGAACTACACAGTTTCTGTAGAATTACACAATTTCTGTAGTATCACATTTTCTGTAGTATCACACAATTTATGTAGAACTACACTGTTTCTGTAAACTACACAGTTTCTGTAAACTACACAGTTTCTGTAGTATCGCACAATTTATGTAGAACTACAGAGTTTCTGCAGAACTACACAATTACTGTAGTATAACAGTTTCTGTAAACTACACAGTTTCTGTAGTATCACAGTTTCTGCAGAACTACAGTTTCTGTAGTATCACAGTTTCTGCAGAACTTCACAGTTTCTGTAGAACTACACAGTTTCTGTAGAACTACACAGTTTCTGTAGTATCACAGTTTCTGTAGAACTACACAGTTTCTGTAGAACTACAGTTTCTGTAGTATCACACAGTTTCTGTAGAATCACACAGTGTCTAGTATCACACAGTTTCTGTAGAACTACACAGTTTCTGTAGAACTACAGTTTCTGTAGAACTACATAGTTTCTGTAGAACTACACAGTTTCTGTAGAACTACACAGTTTCTGTAGAACTACAGTTTCTGTAGTATCACAGAGTGTCTGTAGAACTACACAATTTCTGTAGAACTACACAGTTTCTGTAGAAATTTCTAGAAACACTCATAGTATCTGGAGAATTACATGGTTTCTGTAGAAACTCACAGTTTCTATTGAATATCAGTATCTGTAGAACTACAGTTTTCCTGGAACCAGGTAATTTCTGTAGAATTACACTGTACCAGTAGGTTCACACAGTTTCTGTAGAACCTCACAGTTCCTGTAAAACCACACATAGTTCCTGTAGGACAACACAATTTCTGTAGAACCACATAGTTTCTATGGAACCATACAATTTCTGTAGAACCACAAATTTACTTTAGAACTATACAATTTCCATAGAACCACAAATTTCCTTTAGAACCAAACAATTTCTGTAGAACCACATAGTTTCTATGGAACCAAACAATTCCTGTAGAATCACATAGTTTTCAGTTTATCACACTAGTTGGGTTCCCTCACTGCAGAAGGATATTTGGGTCTGTTACTTGAAGGTTTAGTGTTGTTGTTCTTGCCTGTATTTTGGCTCCAAGGCGGTTATATTTTTTGTTCATGAAATATTCCATCTCTTGCTCTCTTTTCTCTCTGCATTAAAAAAACAAAACAACATCATTCAATTTTCAAGTAAAATATCTGGAACAGAATATCACAAAAAAATTTAAAAAAAAAAAAAATAAGAATATAAAGCCATCAAGCATGAAATGGATGAATTTGTACAGTAACAGTGAATCCAAACTGTTTGTTTGATAGGTTTGTCACTCTATCAACAGCCATGCTACTTTGAGGTAGGGTATTTATACAGGCTGGTGACTGCCTCCATGAACAACATGTGGGAGGCCCATCACAATGTCATACAGAACAATTAGAGTAAAGTATTTTGCCCAAAAACACAACCATGACAGTACATACAGCCGCTTCCTGGAAACAAAAACCATGATGGGTAAGGGTTTGAGGATCAAACCATGCACCTCGTATCTTCACCCGAGGTTATGTGGACCAATCCTCACTAACCACTGAGCCGCTATCATGGCCTGTTGCATAAAAACTGACAATAAAACATGATAAATAGTACTTACAGCTGTAATACTTGTAATTTATATTTCAAACATTTTCCGTAATAAACTAAATATGTTTATTTTTCAGACACAAACATTTTTTGTGCTGTGTAATTGCACAAATTCTAATATCAATTGGTTTTTTTAAATTCCTGCATGAAACAACTGATTTCATTTCTTTTTTTTTTCACTGGTCTGTCACCTAAAGTTAAGACATAAATTGTACAAAGAGTTTACCTGGGAACTGGACCATTGCTGGACACAGGAATATTGGTAGTAGGTAGTTTGTTTCCATACGGAAAGGTGTCACTGAAGAAAGATAAGAAAGAGTACCATCATTTTACATATTGAGTTATCTGTGATATCAGGTTACAGTCAACACTAAATCACAGAGTTCAGTAATGATATCACAAGAGGCCCCTTGGACCTGAACTGTCATCTGAGTTCTTAAAATAAATGTAACTAATGACATCAGGTTACAGTCAACACTAAATCACAGAGTTCAGTAATGATATCACAAGAGGCCCATTGGACCTGAACTGTCATCTGAGTTCTTAAAATAAATGTAACTAATGACATCAGGTTACAGTCAACACTAAATCACAGAGTTCAGTAATGATATCACAAGAGGCCCCTTGGACCTGAACTGTCATCTGAGTTCTTAAAATAAATGTAACTAATGACATCAGGTTACAGTCAACACTAAATCACAGAGTTCAGTAATGATATCACAAGAGGCCCATTGGACCTGAACTGTCATCTGATTTTTAAAAATAAATGTAACTAATGACATCAGGTTACAGTCAACACTAAATCACAGAGTTCAGTAATGATATCACAAGAGGCCCATTGGACCTGAACTGTCATCTGAGTTCTTAAAATAAATGTAACTAATGACATCAGGTTACAGTCAACACTAAATCACAGAGTTCAGTAATGATATCACAAGAGGCCCCTTGGACCTGAACTGTCATCTGAGTTCTTAAAATAAATGTAACTAATGACATCAGGTTACAGTCAACACTAAATCACAGAGTTCAGTAATGATATCACAAGAGGCCCATTGGACCTGAACTGTCATCTGATTTTTAAAAATAAATGTAACTAATGACATCAGGTTACAGTCAACACTAAATCACAGAGTTCAGTAATGATATCACAAGAGGCCCATTGGACCTGAACTGTCATCTGAGTTCTTAAAATAAATGTAACTAATGACATCAGGTTACAGTCAACACTAAATCACAGAGTTCAGTAATGATATCACAAGAGGCCCCTTGGACCTGAACTGTCATCTGAGTTCTTAAAATAAATGTAACTAATGACATCAGGTTACAGTCAACACTAAATCACAGAGTTCAGTAATGATATCACAAGAGGCCCCTTGGACCTGAAGTGTCATCTGAGTTCTTAAAATAAATGTAACTAATGACATCAGGTTACAGTCAACACTAAATCACAGAGTTCAGTAATGATATCACAAGAGGCCCATTGGACCTGAACTGTCATCTGAGTTTTAAAAATAAACATAGTTAAGAGTAATGAAAATCAAAATCATGATGTACCTTATACTTGTGATAATTACATCTACACAAAAATATTTCATTCTATCAAAGCTAAATAAAAAAAGACCACTGAAATTTAGAGCCAATTTGATCCCTGAACCCAGTTGGACCTCAGCATTGAGGGTGGGTAATATATTGTTATTGGGTTTAAAATCATTAAATTGCAATCCCATATATAGAATTTGTACTGTAAATGAAAATTATTTTTCCATATAGCCACCTGATAGTAAAATTTTCCCCCTTCCCAACCCCTCCTCCCTATATCATATCTGATGATAATAATTCAAACCAAGTAAAAATAAACAAAAATCTCCAAAAAGTGTTATTTTCCTTAATTAACAGAGGAGCCAGGTGTTATGACATTGATAAGTTTGATAAAACACCGTAGGACCTTTCTTATAATATACAAAAAGTCTTTTAATCTACAGTATTTGGGTCTGGAGAAGAAGAATTTTGAAATATATTAGAAGCTGATTTTCCACTCTGAGTCACATCCTTCAGGCCTAAACACATTCTTAATTTACATACCATTAAACTACACTCAAATCACAATAACTTTTACTAGAATCATTTCTCACAATAAACAAATTATATCAATTTCTTCTATAAATTCACAATTTTCATAAAGCACATTTTTATAAAGGACATTTTGATCCAAATATAGTTATTTTGTTCCAGCTGTTAATCATGGTCTAAAGAAGGTTTTTAAGATATTAGGCAAATTAATTTCTCTTCATATTCCTGAGGAGCTGGAATCAGACAATCTATAATTTTAATTTCTCATGGCCATGGAACGTTTTTGTTAAATTTTATTGAAATAATTGAAGGGATTTTTCAGAAGGATTAAGTAAAAATGTGACAATATTATTGGATGACGGTAGTTCAGACCATGTAGTTCTTCAGAAACTAAAACCAGCTGCAAAATCAGCAGGATCCAGAGAGAAAAGGATCATATCTTCAAATAAAATAGCGTGTTGAAAGAAATTAAGACACAAAGAATTACAGCGTAGGATTGTTAATGCTTACACTGAAATCTTTTCATCTGAGGGTCCATTGGGATCAAGCACTGGAAACTGGGCATTCACCATGCCCGGAGTAAGTATGACACTTGTTGTAGCCGTAGAGTCGTCCTCTGTGTCCTCCCTAGAACAGACATTAATAGTTATCATATAGCTATCCTGTTATCAGTGTAATAACTGTCCTGTTATCAGTGTAATACCACTGTTATAACACCCCATAATCAGTTTTATAACACCCCATAATCAGTGTTATAACATCCTCGTTATCAGTGTAATAACTGTCCTGTTTACAGTGTAATAACACAATTATTACACCCCATACTCAGTGTAATAACTCAGTGTAATAACTATCCTGTTATCAGTGTAATAACTGTCATGTTGTCAGTGTAATAACACTGTTATAACACCCCATACTCAGTGTAATAACTATCCTGTTATCAGTGTAATAACACTGTTATAACACCCCATAATCAGTGTTATAACACCCCATAATCATTGTAATAACACCCCATACTCAGTGTAACAACTATCCTGTTATCAGTGTAATAACTGTCCTGTTGTCAGTGTAATAACACTGTTATAACACCCCATACTCAGTGTAATAACTATCCTGTTATCAGTGTAATAACACTGTTACAACACCCCATTATCAGCATTATAACACCCCATAATCAGTGTAATAACATCCTCGTTATCAGTGTAATAACTGTCCTGTTATCAGTGTAATAGCACTGTTATAACACCCCCTAATAAGTGTAATAACTGTCCTGTTATAAGTGTAATAACTATCCTGTTATCAGTGTAATAACACTGTTATAACACTCCATAATCAGTGTAATAACTATCCTGTTATCAGTGCAATAACTATACTGTTATCAGTATAATACCACTGTTATAACACCCCATACTCAGTGTTATAACACCCCATAATCAGTGTAATAACTGTCCTGTTATCAGTGTAATAACACTGTTATAACACCCCATACTAAGTGTAATAACTATCCTGTTATAAGTGTAATAACTATCCTGTTATCAGTGTAATAACACTGTTATAACACTCCATAATCAGTGTAATAACTATCCTGTTATCAGTGCAATAACTATACTGTTATCAGTATAATACCACTGTTATAACACCCCATACTCAGTGTTATAACACCCCATAATCAGTGTAATAACTGTCCTGTTATCAGTGTAATACCACTGTTAAAACACCCCATACTCAGTGTTATAACACCCCATAATCAGTGTAATAACTGTCCTGTTATCAGTGTAATACCACTGTTAAAACACCCCATACTCAGTGTTATAACACCCCATAATCAGTGTAATAACTATCCTGTTATCAGTGTAATAACTGTCCTGTTATTAGTGTAATAACACTGTTATAATACCCCATAATTAGTGTAATAACACTGTAATAACATTCCTATTATTAGAGAGTGTCTATGTGTTGGTGTCCAGGAATGTCTGTTTGTGTCTTTGTATCAGGGAATGTCTGTTTGTGTCTTGATGTCTTTGAATGTCTGTCTTGGTGTCTTTGCATGTCTGTCTGTGTCTTGGTGTGCGGGAATATCTCTGTGATGGTACTAGTACCAAGGAAAGTCTTAGTTGTGGTGTCAGGGAATGTATGTCTGTGTCTTTGTATCAGGGAATGTCTGTCTGTGTCTTTGAATCAGGGAATGTCTGTCTGTGTCTTTGTATCAGGGAATGTCTGTCTGTGTCTTTGTATCAGGGAATGTCTGTCTGTGTCTTGATGTCTGAGAATGTCTTTTTTTGTCCTTGTTTCAGGGACTGTCTGTTGATATCTTGGTATCAGTGAAATCTGTGTCTTCATGTCAGGGAATGTATCTGATGGTACATGTACCATGGAAAGTCTAAGTTCTAATGTCAGTGAATGTTGGAGAATGTCAGAATGATGCATACACCCACTCTTCAATATTTTTCTTGTCATCCTCAGGCAATGAGTCAAGCACTGATGGAACTGAAGCTGGCAACATTTCTCCTCCAAATGGATCATCCCTAAAAAAACAAGATGTAACCATCTCACTATCACCATCGTGTAGACTATCAGAAAATGCATTCATTTTATCAGATGTCTTTGTTTATAATCCAATTCATCAAATATAGAAAATTGAAAATAATATTATAAAGACAATCCTAAACGGCCAGTATCTGTTGTTCTATCTTTAATCAGCAATACTGAAGTTAGAAAATATCTGTGGAAGATGTATGCTTCACTTTAAAACTTTCCAGAACTAGTGAGGACAACCTTCAACACAAATAAACTCGAGCTATCCTCATGATACCTTTGTAGATAAAGACAACACAACATGCTCCCTCCAATCAAATGCTGGGGCATAATTATATCAATGTTGATCAAAACAAAAAAATTAAAAAATTCAGCCATATGTGAAGTTATTCAATCATGCGTGAAATGTTATCATTGTAGTAACTTAGAACCCAGACAATCTCCGGACACAGACATTGGTCAATAGCATTAAGTACGTACCACCTAGGAACCCACACATTGGTCAAAGTTGGGGTGTTTGTCAATGACGTCAGTCCTTGTGACGGAAACTTTTTCCAGGCCATAATTCCACGAATCACATCCTGAAATCATAATATATGATATACACCAGTCCATGCAAGTTTTAATGATTCATATTGAAAGTGAGTCAAATTCATCAATCTGAACAAATATGAAAGCCACTGGTCCTAGCAGGTCATGTTACCTTTATGTACCAAAGTGTAATCATTTTGCTGTAAGAGAGTTGATTGACATATTATAGTTTACTTTGTAATAACTTCCTGTACTATAACAATTTACTGTGTTTCTTTTGGTATCATATATAAACACATCCTCATCTTTATCTTCAATAAGTTTGTAAAATATAAATAATGTAATGTATGTATTTTCACAGCAATAGACTTTTTCATGTTATAATGAATAACTTCAACGTATCAACATACCTAAAAAAAGAGATGATGAGAAACCAGAACCATCTTTTACTGAAGTCACTTGGTATATAAAATCTGTTTTAATATTCTTCAAATTATCTTTGATATTTGAGATTTTTTGAAAATATATCTATTTTCAAAAAGTACAGGATTATGTGCTAGCCAAAAGAACAATATATTGGTGAAACTGAGTTATTCCTGCTGGATTGTTGTATGTATGTAGTGGATTTGTACCCTAAACACTCACTGTTGTGTTATTTCAAAATGTGTTTAAGTTACAGCACAATGTTATCATAAACAAATATATTCAAACTAAACTTTTTGCACGTCCATAGTCAATAGATTTGATAGATTTTAGTTATCAGTGGATTTCTAGAGTTTCATTTATCCATGAAATAAGTAGTTTTTACAAGCCAAGAAAATTTGTGCCCCCACAATGTGAATGCCTGGGCTACATACCTCTCTATCTAAGTATTTTCTCTGAGTAGCTGCATGTGGATTAGTGGCATGATCTGCGCGAAAGTATCGTGGCAATGGACACAGATGGAAATCTGAATCCACCTCAGCATACGGCATCGGAGACTGAAAAACTTGCAGCCCTGGGGACGGATTCTGTGGGACAAAAGAATGACTAGGTTCAGTTGAATAGAGTGATGGAATAAACACACAAAACACATACAACCTAGAATATGGACAGACCAGACAGGTCTCAATCAAGTGACTAGATATCCCTGTTAAGTCACTGATATGGCCATTAGACATTTGGACTCAAATAAAAATAAAAGCAGGCGAAGAGCACATTATAAAATTACAATGATGTAACTTCTTTAGTCTATTGACATCTTGTTTCAATTTTGATCCTTTTTGTCCTTGACTCTTAAACCCAAAGGTCAAGCTCAGCGATCTTGATCTTTTTTCATCTATAATGTTAAAACAAAATGTCATCAAGGAAAAAGATACTTTTGCACCTAATGACCTTGACTTTTGACCTGCTTTTTGACATTAGTCTTTTTTAACTGAACGTATTGACCAAATTTCATGTAAATCTGTCAATTAATATGAAAACTAAATTTGTGGACAGAAAGACAGATAGACAGACAAACAGACGGACAGAGTGACAGACAGACTGCAAGTAGAGTTACTGTATCTCCTATTAGCTGGATTCTAATTATCTGAATATGCACCCTACTTTTGTTTATGATGTTCCGGGAAGTTTTGTAAAATCATTAATTTTTGAGGGGGATTTATTTCCATGGAATTTGTGGGCACACTTACTATAGCATAAATTCATATGTCCATGAACTGACCCCAGTTTCATGAATCTTCCTTAACTTAAGGAAGTTTCCTTTACTTAAAATTGTCCATAAGAAAGTATTGCACAAGTTAATGAAATTTACTCAAATTTCAGTTTTGTCTTAGCTTACATAATGCTTGTCTATAGTAGTTAAAATTTCCTTAAGTTAATGTGTAAGGAAGATTTGTGAAATTGGAGCCAGTTAGAAAAAGTTTAAGAAAGATAGTTTATAAATTTATAGCTATTTTTGAAAAACCATGAAAATTTAACCTCACAAAAATGTATGATTTTTTCAGTATATATGACACCATACTCACAAATATATGCAGTGATGGATATTCTACAGGTTGGAACAAAGACGAGGGAGCAATAAGAGGCACTGGTTTGATCTTCACTTCCTCTGATGTCTCCACCACAGGTACCTCCCTTTCTTCTGTATCCACAGTCATGCTGCTGCGCATCTGAGTTACAGCGCTAGCAGTGTCTGTTACTGTGATCACTTCCTCCTGGACAAAGCATTAATACACATTAAATAGACAGGGTCTTGCAGTCTACCCTCAACACGAGGGCCATGGCCCTTATCAGTCATCCGACAACCGACAAATGAATTGACAAAACCACAAATTCTCTGATGGTGATCTTTGACAAATCTGATGAATTCAAATTTTGAACATTCCTTGACAGTTATAATCAGAAACTCATAAATAGTAGGTTCTGTGAATGAAAAACATTTTCACAATCATGTTACAAAATAACTACTGTGGTTAATATGTTGAAGTTTTGATCAGACTGAAAAATAACAAATCATCTCTTTCTTTTCCTTAACAAACCAAACTCCAAATATTTCTCTCATTGGTGTGAATGAAACATGAGAAGAAGTTCAAAGAATTTATTCCAGATGAGCTATGTTGGATTTTGGACCAAAGTGAAAACTACAATTTGGTCAGGACAATTTGATAATGTTTCCTGCCAAATTTAGTTGAAATCAATCAAGGCCTTATGAAAGAGTAGCATTTTGATGCAAAATATTGAATATTGAATCAAATTTCTAAATTTAAGAAATGATTCTCCACCCCTTATGATCTTTCAGACCAAAGTTGATTGAAATCTGCCTAAGCGTTAAGCAGGCGTAGAATTTTAAAGGAAAAGATGACGGACAGCGAACAGTGCACGGCGAACAGTGCATGGCGACGGACCATGAAAGATAGCCATAGGTCATCATAATCCTTTGGGTCATATGGCCTTAAAATGTCAATCTATCCCCATCAGTACATATAGGGGCAACAAGAGGCTCCGACACCTAGATAGTCATCTATATGACTAGTAAGTAAATCTGATCAATCAAATTTTAAAAACTGTTTGTTGAACTTTAACATGTTCAGCTAAAACCCTAATGATTTTCAAAATGTGTTGTCCAGAATTCCCCTACTGGGCCTCATCCCATGGTTTTTTAGGTTGTATTACATTCATTTAATTACATAAATATATATATCTATATATACTGTGCCCAATTATATTTAAGACAAAGTTTGGTAAAATTCTGTCATATAAAAGGCATTTAAGAGAAGTAGGATTTTAAACCAAATTGTTCTATTGGTCCTGGTCCCTGATTTTCTTGCCCCTTGGGTCATGCTAACTTCATTTTACATGTAAATAATGTTTATTTTGCCTCTTTAATGATATCTAATGACAAATATGGTCAAAATCTGTTACAACCTTCTGGAGGAGTAGGATTTTAAAGTGACCCCTGGTCCCACACAGGAATCCCTTATTACCTTGCCCTCTGGAATGGTCTAAATCTTTATTTTCTATACCATACCACTGACTGATGATTACTAATGAATTTTATCAAGATCAAATTAATGTTTACTCAGCATCATAAAAATGTGATCATTAAAACACAAACTGTGTATATACACAAAGTGTTGATCAGGTGATGTTACATTGTATCCTCAAAGATAAGCCCTTAATTATCCCACGACTCACCTCTGCCCCTGTCCTCAGTGGCCGCGCCAACTTAGGGGCAACATATCCCCCAGAGGCAGAATGTACATCATGGTGTCTGTAGCCTTGAATTTTATACTGCTGTGGTACCTAGTAACAAACAATCATAACTTGGTACTAGTCACATACAAGTAACAAATCAGATACAAGCATTCATTTTATAAAATACAGACACAAAAAAAAAACTCCAAGTAGTATTTCTAAACAGTGGTACAATTTTTATGATGTCTTAATTCAGTTTAGTATACCGTACAGTGTATCAGTCTACATATCTCATATAATATCATGTTTTTTAATTTTTTTCAAATAACTTACCTTAAGTTGAAAATATGGTACCTTCCTTTTGACAACAACATTTGTAGGTGTAAATGGTACCTTACCGAGGGCATCAGGGGCCTGTGTAAACACAAACGTAATTAGACATTAAACATCAATGGTACCATCCCAAGGGCATCAGGGGCCTGTGTAAACACAAACATAATTAGCGATTTAACATAAATAGTGCCTTCCCGAGGGCATCAGGGGCCTGTGTAAACACAAACGTAATTAGACATGAAACATCCATGGTACCATTCCAAGGGCATCAGGGGCCTGTGTCATTACAAACATAATTAGAGATTTAACATAAATAGTGCCTATCCGAGGGCATCAGGGGCCTGTGTCATTACAAACGTAATTAGAGATCAATGGTACTTTCCTGAGGGTGTCATTGTCTTTAATTTATGATTTGCAATAAGACATTAAAACATTTAATCATACTAAGAAAAACTTACCATATCATCCTTAACATTTGGAGTAGAATAGGTGACAAACTGGTGTCGTTTGACCTTGGAGTAATGCAGTGGTAGATTGGCAGGAATCATTTCTTTTTGTTCTTCATCTTCAACCTTATCTTTGCGTTCCTCTGTAAAATTTTCAAGTCAAAGTTTACTACAAATTAACCTCAGTAAAATTTACCTGTCACTGTTAACTACAAACCTCAGTAAAATTTACCTGTCACTGTTAACTACAAACCTCAGTAAAATTTACCTGTCACTGTTGACTACAAACCTCAGTAAAATTTACCAGTCACTGTTTACTACAAACCTCAGTAAAATTTACCTGTCACAATTCACTACAAACCTCAGTAAAATTTACCTGTCACAGTTTACTACAAACCTCAGTAAAATTTACCTGTCACTGTTAACTACAAACTTCAGTAAAATTTACCAGTCACAGTTTACTACAAACCTCAGTAAAATTTACCAGTCACTGTTTACTACAAACCTCAGTAAAATTTACCTGTCACTGTTAACTACAAACCTCAGTAAAATTTACCTGTCACAATTCACTACAAACCTCAGTAAAATTTACCTGTCACTGTTGACTACAAACCTCAGAATAATTTACCAGTCACTGTTAACTACAAACCTCAGTAAAATTTACCTGTCACTGTTAACTACAAACCTCAGTAAAATTTACCTGTCACTGTTAACTACAAACCTCAGTAAAATTTACCTGTCACTGTTTACTACAAACCTCAGTAAAATTTACCTGTCACTGTTAACTACAAACCTCAGTAAAATTTACCTGTCACTGTTTACTACAAACCTCAGTAAAATTTACCTGTCACAGTTTACTACAAACCTCAGTAAAATTTACCTGTCACTGTTGACTACAAACCTCAGTAAAATTTACCTGTCACTGTTAACTACAAACCTCAGTAAAATTTACCTGTCACTGTTTACTACAAACCTCAGTAAAATTTACCTGTCACTCTTGACTACAAACCTCAGTAAAATTTACCTGTCACTGTTGACTACAAACCTCAGTAAAATTTACCTGTCACTATTTACTACAAACCTCAGTAAAATTTACCTGTCACAGTTTACTACAAACCTCAGTAAAATTTACCTGTCACTGTTGACTACAAACCTCAGTAAAATTTACCAGTCACTGTTTACTAACTAAGTTACAGTGACTTCAGACCTAAGTTATGATGTGATGATATATGTGACATGACCTTAAACATCAGTGCTTCACTAGTACTGAAGCAGATCTGTTTGAGACATTAACACTTACGGGACACGATTCCTGCACTGAATTTCTCTTTCCTCCAGTCTTCCACCATTTTACGTAGTGAGTTCAGCTTGTGGTTAACCCGAGCATGCAAGATGACCTTACGTCCAGCTTGAGAGAATCGTTCAAGTGCCGCATGGCGAACAGCCCACAGATCATTGGTGTATGTGTCAAACTTAGCTGTCTCCAGTGCCAACTATAAGGAAATAATTTCAAATGCACTGATGTTTTTTTTTTCTCAGATGATAATCTGAGAAGATTATAAAAAGAGCTGACAAAATTAGACGATAAACAAGGGGACGCAAGTGGAACAGAAATATTCATGAGAACTTGTCAAAATTTGATATATTAAGGGGACAATACTAGGACTAGTCACAAATATATGACTGGAAATATTAGTTCTGTAGTGTTTAATAAATCAGCACAGTGATGTTAAATAACTCTACAGCTGTTTATTATAGACTTACTGTTGTTGACTCGCGGAATGTACGTTTAAATGTGGAAGCAGTTTCTTGTCGACCATATTCATCCTCTGGGATGGGATCTCCTCGCCGCTCATACTGTGAACACAATTTATTTACACTAAGACACAAACCAAAATATTGATCATTACCAGAACCACAAAAGCTTGATTTCCAGAACAACAAACCATTTAGTATTATTCAAGTAAAACATCTACTTCACCAGCAAGACTTAAAAATCAACCACTTCTGTTCCTGTTTTGGTTTCTGTCCTAACTAGAGTAGCTTTTTGGTTATCTATGAAAATTTCCCTTAATTTTCTGTACTTTTCAATATCAAAATTGTTCTAGGCAAAACTCAAAATTTTGCTTTGGAGAAAAATTCAGTAAGTCAAGTTGTTTGAATAAATCTTTATCAGTATTAGTTTTTCCTCATTTTCTTTATACTTTCTCCATAAATTTTCCATATCTCATTCACACATTTAAATATAGAATTCATTTCCTTCATTTCCTCTGTATTTTTCTGATAAACATTTATAGAGAAATGGAGAGTTCCTTTGATTACCGAGAGCGTGGACAAAAAAGACCTACCTTATACTGATCCCAGGCATCTTTGCGAGCCACAAGGATTTTCTCCCTCTCCGCATTAGTTATCTGATCATCACCAAATTTGACCTGCCATCTTAACTGATTTTGTCTCTCTTCATATACGTTCTGTCGCACACTGTGTTCAAATACAGCCTCCTGAAAACAACATTTAGGTTACAAAGGGAGATAACTGGTCATTTCAATTACGAAGGGAGATAACTGGTCATTTCATACCGGTTTAACACAGTTTAGATTCTAGTGTTGATAAACTGTATTCTCCATCCAGTCCAGAGGGGGGAGTGGGGGGGGGGGGGGGCTTATTTACGGACAATGAATCTACATTGGTTTATAATTTGACTGCACAGCAATATTGATGGGCTCATTACCAAGCATGAACATACTGAAGAAGGACTATATCAGAGACAATATATGTACACGGACTTAAGCCCCACCCTTAAAGCTTGATCCCTAATGACTAAAAACAGTATACAGACTGTCAACAAAAGGACAATCCTCAGAAATCGAGGAAAATACCTACATTTATATATGTCATGTTAAAAAAATGTCGTTGCAGATAAAGAATATATTTCACTTTATCAAATATTTCTGTTTTTTATATTTCCAAAACAAAGATTTGCAGAGTAAGTTCTTTATCTTAATAAAATCTTTATTTATATAAATTTCCATTCTTTCATATTTGATAATATGGTTGAATTGGGAGAGCATGTCCTTGGAAATACCATGGAAAGATGAAATATACTTACTTTCATCTGTCTTGTAGCAGCCTTTGGCTTGTCTTTGCTTTTAGTAATGACAGCTGAAAACAATGAATGGAAGGAAAATCAGCATTCAACTCAGAGGTATACATGTAATATTAATACATACTGTGTAGTCATATATACTGGATTGTGTAGGTGTTAAATTTGTAGGGGAATTTATTATCTAGGGATTCGGGCTATATGGATGGGGATGGCTATCTGGGAATATGGGCTATCTGGGGATATGGGATATCTGGGGATATGGGATATCTGGGGATTTGGGCTATCTGGGGACATGGGCTATCTGGGGATATGGGCTATCTGGGGATATCGGCTATCTGGGGAGGTGAGCTATCTGGGGACATGGGCTATCTGGGGAGGTAAACTATATGGGGATTTGGGCTATCTGGGGATATGGGATATCTGGGGACATGGGCTATCTGGTGATATGAGATATCTGGGGATAAGGGATATCTGGGGACATGGGCTATCAGGGGATATGGGCTATCTGGGGATATGGGCTATCTGGGGAGGTGAGCAATCTGGGGATATGGGCTATCTGGGGATATGGGCTATCTGGGGAGGTGAGCTATCTGGGGATATGGGATATCTGGGGAAATGGGATATCTGGGGATATGGGCTATCTGGGGAGGTGAGCAATGTGGGGATATGGGCTATCTGGGGATATGGGCTATCTGGGGAGGTGAGCTATCTGGGGACATGGGCTATCTGGGGAGGTAAACTATATGGGGATTTGGGCTATCTGGGGATATGGGATATCTGGGGACATGGGCTATCTGGTGATATGAGATATCTGGGGATAAGGGATATCTGGGGACATGGGCTATCAGGGGATATGGGCTATCTGGGGATATGGGCTATCTGGGGAGGTGAGCAATCTGGGGATATGGGCTATCTGGGGATATGGGCTATCTGGGGAGGTGAGCTATCTGGGGATATGGGATATCTGGGGAAATGGGATATCTGGGGATATGGGATATCTGGGGAAATGGGATATCTGGGGATATGGGCTATCTGGGGAGGTGAGCAATGTGGGGATATGGGCTATCTGGGGATATGGGCTATCTGGGGAGGTGAGCTATCTGGGGATATGGGATATCTGGGGATATGGGATATCTGGGGATATGGGCTATCTGAGGAGGTGAGCTATCTGGGGATATGGGCTATCTGGGGAGGTGAGCTATCTGGGGATATGGGCTATCTGGGGATATGGGCAATCTGGTGAGGTGAGTTATTTAAGGATATGGGCTATCTGGGGATATGGGCTATCTGGGGATATGGGCTATCTGAGGAGGTGAGCTATCTGGGATAGGGCTATCTGGGGATATAGGCAATCTGGGGAGGTGAGCTATCTGGGGATATGGGCAATCTGGTGAGGTGAGCTGTCTGGGGATATGGGCAATCTGGTGAGGTGAGCTATTTAGGGATATGGGCTATCTGGGAATATGGGCAATCTGGGGAGGTGAGCTATCTAGGGATATGGGCTATCGCGGATATGGGCTATCTTGGGACATGGGCTATCTGGTACCTGTATATATGACAGTACAACCACTTGTAGAAGAGTACAGACTTCATGTGTTACCCACAGCAATCTGCCAATGTTACACACTATATCCTATGCTTAAAAGGTCTCTACTTTATATCCTACAAATGCTTCAGAAGCTTTGGTCAGATATATGCTGACTATTGTGATAAGTGTGTTGACTATATATGTGACTGTCAGACAATCTCCACCCAGAACATGAGATTGAGGCAAACTGGTAACAATAGGTGATGTGTGGTTTTCCCCCATAGGTTTTCATAAAACATCAAAAAAAAAAAAATTTGTTCTCTTCTTCGCATCTTATTCAAATCTCTACAGAGCTGTGATATTTCATCAATAAAATCTCTACAGAGCTGTGATACTCTATCTATAAAATCTCTACAGAGCTGTGATATTTTATCTATAAATTCTCTACAGAGCTGTGATATTTTATCTACAAAATCTCTACAGAGCTATGATATTTTATCTATAAAATGTCTACAGAACTGTGATATCTTATTTATAAAATCTCTACAGAGCTGTGATATTTTATCTATAAAATGTCTACAGAGCTGTGATATTTTATCAATAAAATCTCTACAGAGCTGTGATATTTTATCTATAAAATCTCTACAGAGCTGTGATATTTTATCAATAAAATCTCTACAGAGCTGTGATATTTTATCTACAAAATGTCTACAGAGCTGTGATATTTTATCAATAAAATCTCTACAGAGCTGTGATATTTTATCTATAAAATGTCTACAGAGCTGTGATATTTTATCAATAAAATCTCTACAGAGCTGTGATATTTTATCTAAAAAATCTCTACAGAGCTGTGATATTTTATCAATAAAATCTCTACAGAGCTGTGATATCTTATTTATAAAATCTCTACAGAGCTATGATATTTTATCTATAAAATCTCTACAGAGCTGTGATATTTTATCTATAAAATCTCTACAGAGCTGTGATATTTTATCAATAAAATCTCTACAGAGCTGTGATATTTTATCTATAAAATGTCTACAGAGCTGTGATATCTTATTTATAAAATCTCTACAGAGCTGTGATATTTTATCTATAAAATCTCTACAGAGGTGTGATATTTTATCTACAAAATGTCTACAGAGCTGTGATATTTTATCAATAAAATCTCTACAGAGCTGTGATATTTTATCTATAAAATGTCTACAGAGCTGTGATATTTTATCAATAAAATCTCTACAGAGCTGTGATATTTTATCTAAAAAATCTCTACAGAGCTGTGATATTTTATCAATAAAATCTCTACAGAGCTGTGATATCTTATTTATAAAATCTCTACAGAGCTATGATATTTTATCTATAAAATCTCTACAGAGCTGTGATATTTTATCTATAAAATCTCTACAGAGCTGTGATATTTTATCAATAAAATCTCTACAGAGCTGTGATATTTTATCTATAAAATGTCTACAGAGCTGTGATATCTTATTTATAAAATCTCTACAGAGCTGTGATATTTTATCTATAAAATCTCTACAGAGGTGTGATGTTTTCTTATCTCATTTTAAGTACAGGAATAGTATGTTGATTTTTATAATTTTGACATTTTGTGAAATATGAACATGAAATAATATTTTTGATGTCAAGTCTTACTTTCTCTGAGGTCCTTGGCTCGAAGCTTGCCTGGTTCTTGATTTAAAACCTGAGCTACAGCATAGGGTGTGTCTAGTTGAGGTGGAAAACGCACTCCACCATACTCTACCTCCTTGTAACATAAGACAAATGATCAAACCTCAACTCTAGATATAAATTATTACAGTAAAGCTCTAGATGTCCTTACTCTCGCACAATAACTTTAAGTACAATATCAATATTGAACAAATAAGTCAAATAATGAATTTGCACATTTGAAATAATGGTTATATTAACATACAGAAAATCACATTCTTATGTGTAATATCTTTCGTGAGAAAAGTACTAAAATATGATGACAACTAAAATATGCATTTATACAATATTAATGTTGAAAGATGACATGGTTGTTTACCTCTGGTTCTTTTGTTTTTCTTGGTTTGACCTTTTGCCTTTTCTTCCTTGACCTTCCGAGAGGGGTCAGAGAGCGTGGGTCAAGAATCTCCTCACTTTCATATTGCTGTTCTGATATTTCCCTAGGGAGATAACAGATTTCTTCAGTTTGTATAGAAATTCTATTGTGAAACAATCACAACAGAACAAGGGGGATGGAGGTACAATGTCACTTGATGTCTGAATTGCTGCCATTAAATTTTGATAAAAAGGAGAAATTGCCAAGATAAACTCAATCTTTTAGTGAATTGTGAAACAAGTTACATTTAGATATTAATATATCGGATATTGTATTACACTTGCTGTCCCTTTCAGGAGGCATGAAGGGATCTAACTGAAGGTGGATACTGCAGTAACACAGGAAAAGCTTACATCTCAGTACAGACAACTGACCCCAAACTTTTCATCCCACATCAGGTAAATGAGACCAAATTGCTTAAGTGTAAGGTGAGTGTGTTACCAAGGCAACATGTAACCAATCACTACCAAGAGAAAGAGAATCCAACATTTAGTTACAGTAGAATGACACTGCCTATTGTTGTATACTAAAATGACTTACTTTAACATTCCAGGTAGAGAAGTCCCACAAAAATTACAGATGATAGGTTTTGAATTGAACTGTGATATAACTAATTGTATCTTCATCATGGCTGTTAGGAATTCCAACGGAGCAAATGTCACAGAAACTTCACTCTCGCCATGGGCTGGTATTACACCTACAAACAAGACACAACATTAGTCTCAGCAGTTGTTGTGCAATTCTCTTCTGTTTCATTTCATTCATCAGATAGGAGAAAATTAAAGATTCATGAAAATTGTTATATAAATAGTAGATCTCTTCACAGTAAGTATAACTTAAACCGCTGCTATTTTTATCTTGTAAACATGGCTGAATCGTATTTATTTCTCGTTAGAAACTTTATATGACATTACCTATTTATTCAGAGTCAAAAAAGGCTTAAGCCAATCTGCTGAGTAAATATCTGTCATTGGTTGGACTGAAATACTCACCTGTCATTGGTTGGACTGAAATACTCACCTGTCATTGGTTGGACTGAAAATGATGGATGTGGTTGGATGTAGGTCAAGTTGAATTCAAAGTCAATAGGTGCATCACATCGTAGGGGAAACACTTTTGTCATCCTAAAAAAGAAAACATATACTGGGTAAGCACTATAGAACTCTGACAGTGATCATTTCTCAAGACTTGTGACAGTGGCAGTCACCAGAAAACTGTGACAGTGGCAGTCACTAGAAAACTGTGATAACGATCATTTCCCAAGACTTGTGACAGTGGCAGTCACAAGAAAACTGTGATAGTGATCATTTCACAAGACTTGTGACAGTGGCAGTCACAAGAAAACTGTGACAGTGGCAGTCACAAGAAAACTGTGACAGTGGCAGTCACTAGAAAACTGTGACAGTGATCATTTCACAAGACTTTTGACAGTGGCAGTCACAAGAAAACTGTGACAGTGGCAGTCACAAGAAAACTGTGACAGTGATCATTTCACAAGACTTTTGACAGTGGCAGTCACAAGAAAACTGTGACAGTGGCAATCACAAGAAAACTGTGACAGTGGCAGTCACAAGAAAACTGTGACAGTGGCAGTCACTAGAAAACTGTGATAACGATCATTTCCCAAGACTTGTGACAGTGGCAGTCACAAGAAAACTGTGACAGTGATCATTTCACAAGACTTTTGACAGTGGCAGTCACAAGAAAACTGTGACAGTGGCAGTCACAAGAAAACTGTGACAGTGGCAGTCACAAGAAAACTGTGACAGTGGCAGTCACTAGAAAACTGTGAAAACGATCATTTCCAGTGATCATTTCACAAGACAGTGGCAGTCACTTGTGACAGTGGCAGTCAGTGATCATTTCACAAGACTTTTGACAGTGGCAGTCACAGTGGCAGTCACAGAGAAAACTGTGACAGTGGCAGTCATTTCCCAAGACTTGTGACAGTGGCAGTCACAAGAAAACTGTGACAGTGATCATTTCACAAGACTTTTGACAGTGGCAGTCACAAGAAAACTGTGATAGTGATCATTTCACAAGACTTTTGACAGTGGCAGTCACAAGAAAACTGTGATAGTGATCATTTCACAAGACTTTTGACAGTGGCAGTCACCAGAAAACTGTGACAGTGTACGCAATGACTTACTTGTGTCCAACAGGTACAGGAGGAAAACTAAACTGCTGTGGGAAATCCTCTGTGCTCATCACTGGATAGGCATGTATGGGGATAACCAGGTTCTCCTCACCCTATAAATAAAACACCAACCAAAACTTAAAGAGATGCAACAATTGTTCAACAAACCCAAAGAATCTTACACATCTTTGACCAACATAGCTAAATCAATTTTTAGAGAATAGTTCATTGTTATCATCTAATGTACTTAATGTAGGTCACCATTTCATTGTCATCACATAATTAAGAAAGGTGACAGTGTATTCATCAAAATGTCACATATAATTTTCTGGTTGTGACATAAAAGACCTCAGTTTTTATCTCGTTTTGACATATTGATTTACTTGATGCCTCATGATTCCATTACAGCCTTCCACTTACAGGGCAATTAATCCTTATGCAGTCATAATAGTAACGCCACTCATCCGGAGTGAACTCTATCGTACATTCTATTGTGAGACCGGGAACCAACCTCTCCTGCAATATCAAGATGTAAATTTGTTCATGTACATTCATCAATGTGTACTACACTACATAAACAAAAATCATCACCCCCCTCCTCCATACACACCCTAGTTCTTAGTACATTTTATCACCACAAGAAAAATCATTCTATTTACAGCAGTTACAGCTATCAGTGGAGAAGTATTCAGAGTTCAAGGAAAACATCTCAAAATATCTACTTCATAAAATTTGTAATGTTTTCATATGAAAAAAATATGTTAATGAAAGTTCCATTGAATACACTTATAAACATAATGATGTCTTAATTTTAAATGTATGATACTTACTGATTTTTTATACTTGAGGTAAAAGTATTTTGTTTGGGGAGGAATAATATGCATCCTGATGACTTCTGTGGAGGCGTTGACAATACTTAGTGTTTGGACTTGTTTCTTGTGTAAGGTATATCCCCCGAAGTGCACCACTGCTGGTTTAGCTTGTACCATGGCATTTTGAGCAACAGTAGAATAGATCTCTGTGAAGTGAAGTGATGATTTATTAGTCTCTCAAACCTTCCTGGAGAAACACATTTGTGTAACTACTTTAGTCTACTAGATTGTAAAAACTGCAAGTTTTATTACCAGTACATACATAGGTTTCTTGTTTTGTGTGGTATACATTGTGACACATATGGTCAATCAGTGATGAAATGCTACTACAGTATACAAGCACATCACATGAGGTCAATAGATATTTATGAATTACAATTGCCATCAAATAAAATATTAACTCAAAATGTTTTTCAACTAAGCAAAAACATTATTTCAGTGAAGAAGAATAAATAAACAAACTTTTTACATTTTTGAAAATTGAGAGTATATATATATATGTATGTGTAGAAATTAAAGAGTACAGGTCGCTTTTCTAGCATTGAGTAGTGAGAATTCCCCTTTAGTTTAGTGGTAGAGTGTCTGATTAGAGACCGAGGGTTGCAAGTTTGATCCCCACCAAGGGCAAGATTTTTTTATTACTCCTTCCTATTACAGATTTGGTGCCAAAGACCACTCCAAGGGTAGAAACCATAGGAGATTGAGATGCTTCCTTGGAGACATTGAACCTGGGTTGTTGGTGTCTGTGGGGTCGAAAACTTTGTGAAGGAGGGAGTAGTGTAGAAGTTGAAAGTACAGGTTGCCTTAATTAGCCTCAGCTGGTGGGAATTTCTCTCTAATCAAGCATTACAGTGTCCAGCTAGAGACCAAAGGGTCACTTAGTTGGAACCCCACCAAAGGCAGGGTGTTTTCCATTACCCCTTCCTATAACATATGTATGCTTGAAATTAATTAAATTTGGACAATTATAACATAGGAACTTTTGGGCATCAGATCTATCATGTGCATAACATACAATGTAACTATATATAAAACGTAAATGTCAACACATGCATCATCTTCTTCTTTGTAACTTCCTCCTAAAGTCGGAGAACCAGCAACTTGTCACTGTACATGTCACCTCCATGCTAAAGAGGTATGGTGTTAGTGCCATGTGGAGAATAACAGAAAGTATTTGTTAATGAACACCCTTAGCTAGCATAGTTTATGGTGGTGTCTTTAATATATGTGTTAACGCATTTATTTGAGTGAGCTCACTAATTAATCTAATAATTGTTAGACAAGACAATGAAAGGGTGCAAATGTATTTTGCATTTGTTGACACATTAATAATGTCATATATATTGTACCATTCAACAACGTGCGAAATAATTGTTGGATTTAGCTCCGGGAGTGAATCTTAAAAGGAATATGTTTTGAAACAATGTATGATTTACATTGTTCAAGACCTGGTAATGGTATGGCAATAAAGATTTATTTCGAATTCACGGTACTTAACAAATCTACAACGAATGGATACTAGTTGATATCTCATATACTGCCTATCTCTAAATTTATGAAGTCATACTTGTTTCCAACAGGTGATTGGGAACAGGTTGCTGTGCCTTTGGCTCGACGAGTTGCATGGTGTCAATCAGCAGGCCTTTCTCTCCCGATAGACCCACAGGGTCCGTAAAGGCCCTGTTCATCGCAGTAACAGCTGGCATTTTGCTTTATATCCAATTCAACATTATACAGAAATGAAACAATCTCGCGTTATCTACATAATTCTTCCCTTCAAGCCGTATTGTGGTTTTAGGTACTTTCCGCCATGTTGTTTACGACCCTGTCACTGCCTGTGGAAGGAATAATAAAATAGTTCATGATAACAACCATAATTTTGTTTTACATGGAGATTAATAATACATTTAATTAACTAGTTTAACTTAAATGTTAAAAATAAAATTATGCTTTCAAATAAAGATATGTTTGGGACTTAAGTTACGAAATTACGATATTTACGAACTAGGTTTTCAAGATTGCCGTTTCCAAGGAGATTATTCCGCTGACGGAAGTTTACAAATCTATCGAACTCTCCTCTTATGGAGATTTAAAAAAGTAGTGGGAATTTCCCGCGAGATACTGTTGTGGAAAACAGCGCACGTGACAGCTGTCATTAGTTGGTAAAAAATACGTTATTTTAGCCGGCCGGTACGTAAATTTGTAGTTGGTAGCGTAAGTTTACTCTAGTCCCAAACCAGACTTTGGCAACTTTAACTGACAAGATATGACTAGGCATTTTTGACTGTTTTTTATCATTCATTTACATGTAATATTATGTATTGTTATAAAAACATCATATAACACTGCGGGTTGTTTCAATGAAACTGAATGATAAGTCTGATTTGACATAAACAAAACTTAAATCACCCATTACGCTGGACGAAGACCCAGTCATGACCTTTCAGATGTGTAGATTGTAAAAAAATCTTCACTCGTGTCATACCAGGGCACATTATATTTGTGCTGGTCATTTTTTGAGATCTACTGAAACAAATAAGAAGCATACATACTGGGATCGCCCACGTATATTACAGAGTGTGGAAGAGCAACGGTGGTCACAAGATTGTCACAGTGAGATAATGGTGTTTTAAGGGTCTTTATGAAATAGCATGCGAAGGAAAAAGAGCATGGTGTATGGCTGTTGATTAGAATCAAAGCTGCATCTTGTAAAACAAAATCTTGCAATTGTAGGCTCAGAGCACATGATCATGATAGGGCTATACTATTCACATACGTGTCAGGGCATAGGAAAGACTCCTGAGGACAAAAGAAACAGTGCAGGTTTTCTTTTTGTGTTATTCCATATTTGTATTAATGATGCCGCGGAAACTGGTGGAACGACTAAACACAAACACTGTTTTTTATCTGGTTATATTCTTGTCTCATACAAGGGGACAGGCGTAATATTATGTCTTTTGATCAAGATATTACAAAATGGGTTTCATTTATGAACTTCCTAGAAGATAGAATAGACACTTTTATTTGACAAACAATCCAATATAAACCACTTCCTCCAACGTTCCTTGAATACCCCCTATTGTGCGATTCTGTGTTCCTTGTATTCCTTGTATTGTAACACCACCAAACTGACAACATCAAACCAACACCACCAAACTGACATCAAACCAACACCACCAAACTGACAACATCAAACCAACACCACCAAACTGACAACATCAAACCAACACCACCAATGTCACATCAAACCAGCACCACCAAACTGACATCAAACCAACACCACCAAAGTGACAACATCAAACCAACACCACCAAACTGACATCAAACCAACACCACCAAACTGACAACATCAAACCAACACCACCAAAGTCACGTCAAACCAACACCACCAAACTGACATCAAACCAACACCACCAAACTGACATCATACCAACACCACCAAACTGACAATGTCAAACCAACACCACCAAACTGACAATGTCAGACCAACACCACCAAACTGACATCAAACCAACACCACCAAAGTGACAACATCAAACCAACACCACCAATCTGACATTAAACCAACACCACCAAAGTGACAATGTCAAACCAACACCACCAAAGTGACAATGTCAAACCAACACCACCAAAGTGACAATGGCAAACCAACACCACCAAACTGACATCAAACCAACACCACCAAACTGACAATGTCAAACCAACACCACCAAACTGACAATGTCAAACCAACACCACCAAACTGACAATGTCAGACCAACACCACCAAACTGACATTAAACCAACACCACCAAACTGACATCAAACCAACACCACCAAACTGACATTGTCGAACCAACACCACCAAACTGACAATGTCAAACCAACACCACCAAAGTGACAATGTCAAACCAACACCACCAATGTCACATCAAACCAGCACCACCAAACTGACATCAAACCAACACCACCAAAGTGACATCAAACCAACACCACCAAACTGACAACATCAAACCAACACCACCAAACTGACAACATCAAACCAACACCACCAAACTGACATCAAACCAACACCACCAAACTGACAATGTCAAACCAACACCACCAAACTGACAATGTCAAACCAACACCACCAAAGTGACAATGTCAAACCAACACCACCAATGTCACATCAAACCAGCACCACCAAACTGACATCAAACCAACACCACCAAACTGACAATGTCAAACCAACACCACCAAACTGACAATGTCAAACCAACACCACCAAACTGACAATGTCAGACCAACACCACCAATGTCACATCAAACCAGCACCACCAAACTGACATCAAACCAACACCACCAAACTGACAATGTCAAACCAACACCACCAAACTGACAATGTCAAACCAACACCACCAATGTCACATCAAACCAGCACCACCAAACTGACATCAAACCAACACCACCAAACTGACAACATCAAACCAACACCACCAAACTGACAACATCAAACCAACACCACCAAACTGACATCAAACCAACACCACCAAACTGACAACATCAAACCAACACCACCAAACTGACAATGTCAAACCAACACTAACAAACTGTTGCCATTAATCTTCCACCATCAACCATCAATACACTCCAAGTGGGTTTGTGACAATGTATCTTACAAGTGTTGTACAAGTACATTGCCCTCAAACAACCACCTTGACACATTATTTTGACTTGATTGGCAAAATTAAGGTTATGAAAAGTGTCAGAAATGTGAAACTGTTACAATATCTTGAAAATTTGTTTGTCATTGAGATATGTTAGTACTTTCAAAAGACCTTGAAAAAACATGAAGTAACTTGGATGTCAAGAGTGGAACCTTTTTATCTCAAAAGTGAAGAAAACGAAAATAAGAATTTTTGTTATCAAAGATAATGTTGTCAAAACAAAGTTAAAAAAGCAATAAAAGATGTTAAAATTTTGATTTTAGGTGAATGATGGCCTCACAGACGTCATTACCAGGTACTATACGTAAACTGGATGAGGTGGTTGTGAATAGAATAGCCGCAGGAGAAGTGATCCAGAGACCAGCTAACGCACTGAAGGAAATGATAGAAAATTGGTAAGTGGATCAGAGACTAACACTTTGAAGGAAATGATAGAAAATTGGTAAGCGGATCAGAGATTAGCTAACACACTGAAGGAAATGATAGAAAATTGGTAAGTGGATCAGAGACTAACACTTTGAAGGAAATGATAGAAAATTGGTAAGTGGATCAGAGACTAACACTCTGAAGGAAATGATAGAAAATTGGTAAGTGGATCAGAGACTAACACTCTGAAGGAAATGATAGAAAATTGGTAAGTGGATCAGAGACTAACACTCTGAAGGAAATGATAGAAAATTGGTAAGTGGATCAGAGACTAACACTTTGAAGGAAATGATAGAAAATTGGTAAGTGGATCAGAGACCAGCTAACGCACTGAAGGAAATGATAGAAAATTGGTAAGTGGATCAGAGACCAGCTAGCACTCTGAAGGAAATGATAGAAAATTGGTAAGTGGATCAGAGACCAGCTAACGCACTGAAGGAAATGATAGAAAATTGGTAAATGGATCAGAGACCAGCTAACGCACTGAAGGAAATGATAGAAAATTGGTAAGTGGATCAGAGACTAGCACTCTGAAGGAAATGATAGAAAATTGGTAAATGGATCAGAGACCAGCTAACGCACTGAAGGAAATGATAGAAAATTGGTAAGTGGATCAGATACTAACACTCTGAAGGAAATGATAGAAAATTGGTAAGTGGATCAGAGACCAGCTAACGCACTGAAGGAAATGATAGAAAATTGGTAAGTGGATCAGATACTAGCACTCTGAAGGAAATGATAGAAAATTGGTAAGTGGATCAGAGACTAACACTCTGAAGGAAATGATAGAAAATTGGTAAGTGGATCAGAGACTAACACTCTGAAGGAAATGATAGAAAATTGGTAAGTGGATCAGAGACTAACACTTTGAAGGAAATGATAGAAAATTGGTAAGTGGATCAGAGACTAGCACTCTGAAGGAAATGATAGAAAATTGGTAAGTGGATCAGAGACCAGCTAACGCACTGAAGGAAATGATAGAAAATTGGTAAGTGGATCAGAGGCCAGCTAACGCACTGAAGGAAATGATAGAAAATTGGTAAGTGGATCAGAGACCAGCTAACGCACTGAAGGAAATGATAGAAAATTGGTAAGTGGATCAGAGACCAGCTAACGCACTGAAGGAAATGATAGAAAATTGGTAAATGGATCAGAGACCAGCTAACGCACTGAAGGAAATGATAGAAAATTGGTAAGTGGATCAGAGACTAACACTCTGAAGGAAATGATAGAAAATTGGTAAGTGGATCAGAGACTAACACTCTGAAGGGAATGATAGAAAATTGGTAAGTGGATCAGAGACAAGCTAACGCACTGAAGGAAATGATAGAAAATTGGTAAGTGGATCAGAGACTAACACTTTGAAGGAAATGATAGAAAATTGGTAAGTGGATCAGAGACTAACACTTTGAAGGAAATGATAGAAAATTGGTAAGTGGATCAGAGACAAGCTAACGCACTGAAGGAAATGATAGAAAATTGGTAAGTGGATCAGAGACTAACACTTTGAAGGAAATGATAGAAAATTGGTAAGTGGATCAGAGACTAGCACTCTGAAGGAAATGATAGAAAATTGGTAAGTGGATCAGAGACCAGCTAACGCACTGAAGGAAATGATAGAAAATTGGTAAGTGGATCAGAGACTAACACTCTGAAGGAAATGATAGAAAATTGGTAAGTGGATCAGAGACTAACACTCTGAAGGAAATGATAGAAAATTGGTAAGTGGATCAGAGACTAACACTCTGAAGGAAATGATAGAAAATTGGTAAGTGGATCAGAGACTAACACTTTGAAGGAAATGATAGAAAATTGGTAAGTGGATCAGAGACCAGCTAACGCACTGAAGGAAATGATAGAAAATTGGTAAGTGGATCAGAGACCAGCTAGCACTCTGAAGGAAATGATAGAAAATTGGTAAGTGGATCAGAGACCAGCTAACGCACTGAAGGAAATGATAGAAAATTGGTAAGTGGATCAGAGACTAACACTCTGAAGGAAATGATAGAAAATTGGTAAGTGGATCAGAGACTAACACTTTGAAGGAAATGATAGAAAATTGGTAAGTGGATCAGAGACTAACACTCTGAAGGAAATGATAGAAAATTGGTAAGTGGATCAGAGACTAACACTTTGAAGGAAATGATAGAAAATTGGTAAGTGGATCAGAGACTAACACTCTGAAGGAAATGATAGAAAATTGGTAAGTGGATCAGAGACTAACACTCTGAAGGAAATGATAGAAAATTGGTAAGTGGATCAGAGACTAACACTCTGAAGGAAATGATAGAAAATTGGTAAGTGGATCAGAGACCAGCTAACGCACTGAAGGAAATGATAGAAAATTGGTAAGTGGATCAGAGACTAACACTCTGAAGGAAATGATAGAAAATTGGTAAGTGGATCAGAGACCAGCTAGCGCACTGAAGGAAATGATAGAAAATTGGTAAGTGGATCAGAGACCAGCTAACGCACTGAAGGAAATGATAGAAAATTGGTAAGTGGATCAGAGACCAGCTAACGCACTGAAGGAAATGATAGAAAATTGGTAAATGGATCAGAGACCAGCTAACGCACTGAAGGAAATGATAGAAAATTGGTAAGTGGATCAGAGACCAGCTAACGCACTGAAGGAAATGATAGAAAATTGGTAAGTGGATCAGAGACTAACACTCTGAAGGAAATGATAGAAAATTGGTAAGTGGATCAGAGACTAACACTCTGAAGGAAATGATAGAAAATTGGTAAGTGTTACAAATTTTGCACTGGAACATATTCATATTAGTTTAGGTTTTTGAAGTAGATTATACTCAACTGTATTGATTGTATGTAAGTGAAAGTTAGTTCATGTGAAAAGTAATTGCACTGGAAAATATGTTGGTGTAGTGATTTGTATACATTTGTTTGTAATACATTCAAACTTTTCTGAATCAAACATTTATGATTCAAATTTCTTGATGAATCAAATTTTTTGTCCAGCCTATTCAAATCACCCTGCGTCCGTGGTCCGTCCGTCCGTCCATCCATCCATCCATCTGTCGTCCGTCCGTCCGTAAACAATTCTTGTTACCGCTATTTCTGGGAAAGTACTGGATGGATCTTTCTCAAATTTCATATGCAGTTTCATATCATAGTTGTGCATTGTACCTTTTTTGGACGGATTCCAATTCAAGATGGCCGACACGTGGCTATCTTTTATTTTGAAAGTAAAAGTTTGTCACCGCTATTTCTGGGAAAGTACTGGATGGATCTTTGTCAAATTTCATATGCAGGTTCCCCTTGGTCTCTAGTTATGCATTGTACCTTTTTTGGACGGATTCGAATTCAAGATGGCCGACAGGTGGCCATCTTTGATTTTGAAAGTAAAAATTTGTTACTGCTATTTCTGGGAAAGTACTGGATGGATCTTTGTCAAATTTCAAATGAAGTTTCCCCTTGGTCCTCAGTTGTGCAGTGTACCTTTTTTGGACTGATTCGAATTCAAGATAGCCCACAGACGTCCATCTTTGATTTTGAAAGTAAAAGTTTGTTATCACTATTTCTGGGAAAATACTTGATGGATCTTTCTCAAATTTCATATGCAGGTTCCCCTTGGTCCCTAATTGTGCATTTTTTCCTTTTTGGACTGATCCGAAATCAAGATGGCTGACAAGCAGCCATCTTGGATTTTGGGAGTAAAATCTTGTTACCACTATTTCTGAGGAAGTAGTGGATGGATACTTCTGATATTTCATAGGTATTGGTTTCTCTTGGTCCCTAATTGTGCATTGTACCATTTTTTGACTGATTTGAAATCAAGGTGGCCCACAGGCAGCCATCTTGGATGTCAAAAGTAATACAGTAGTTTGTTATGGCTGTCACAGGATCCTTCTCAAATTTCATATTTAGCTTCCTCTTGGTACCTAGTTAAGCATTGTCCCATATTTAGAATGAACTGAAAAACAAAATGGCCTATAGCTCTCCATCTTGGATTTGAACAGCGAGTAATTGTTTTATGGCTATTTCTTACCTACATGATCAGTCATTCTCAAGTTTCAGATTTTCTAAATTAAGTAAACATTGAAAAATACACTGTTTAGGGTATGTATACTAAACCATGCAATGAATTGAGTTAATGGCATATGGGTTGACACATGAGAAGTAACAGAAGAATTGATTTATTAAAAATGTCAATAATTCCTAATGTTTAAGTGTTGGTGTTACAAAAACATTAATGTAATAAAATAAAATATAAAATTTAAAATTTGATAAAAAAAAAAAAAAAAAGTAGTTTTAAAAAACTTTGAACTTTTATTATACTTGTTGCGCTCTTGTACATGTGCATCATTTCATCATCATCATCATCATCATCATCATCATCATCATCATCATCATCATCATCATCATCATCATCATCATCATCATCATCATCATCATCATCATCATCACCATCATCATCACCATCATCATCCATTTTGAATTTAATAAATATACAACTTAATAAAGGGTGTTCATTTTATCACTATATCCCTATAAAAATATCTTGTGCCATCATTGAGTACATTCAATGAAGACCAGTTCATGAACATTTACAACACCTGTAACAAAAAAAAAAAATAAACAAATCTTCAAGAACTGAAAACAGATCCTCAAATGGTGGCTGCCAAGATCCCTCTGGGATCTCTTGTTCCTATATATTACTACTAACTTACCTTCTTATGAATCAAAGTTTTTTAAATCAAACTTTTTGAGGTGCCAAAGTTTTTAAGCTATGATAACATAGTCATTGATACCTTATGGTGCGAACAAATCATTTACCTGTACTGTGCCGGTAATTTCACCTTGTGACAAAATTTCACACATTTCAATGGAGAGCGCTACCTGACAATAGGATTATAATAGCCTGCAATCTGGCTCTCTGTTGTGAGGTTAATAAATGACTGGACAAGCCATGATATTTAATCAGAGATAATGGGACGCCGTGTGATGTTCACCTTCACAATTGTAGGCATTTAGTTAGATCTAATTTATGGAATTTTGAAATCAGTTGGAGGAAATCATTTGTATGATGATTTTACCCATTCCCAAAATGTCACTTTTCAATTTTGAGAAGAAATATGAGGATTTATATGTCAATCATGCGTTCTCCTATTAATTCACACTAGCCGTTTTCAGAACATTGGCAAACAATCTTGTAATCTCTACGACTGAAGATCTGTGATGTTAGTGCTGTCATTTCTGGACAGAATACATTATGATATTAATTAACATGTGAAGCCCGTTTTAATTCAACTCGTCATTTCATTTTAAGGTCGACTATATATTCGTATGACTATAAATACATGTGTGACATGAAGGAATGATTTCTTGATGATTTCTATATCAAGTTAGGTTTTGTTTTCATGAATGAAAATGTTTTGTTTAAAAATGCATCTTTTCATTTAAACTTGTGTTTTGGTATTTCTTGTGTTTGCTTGGGTAGAAACATCGTGTCAACAACTAAATATAGTCATGAACATGAAAATGTAGACATAACCCACCACGAATGATTCAAAGTTTTTTTGGCAGTCCCTTGTACTTCGGAACATTGAAGTTTGACAGTTTTTATATAAGATTTAGGTTTGTAGCAAACATTGAAATGTATCCTACATACCTTATGTGGGATACTGAAATTTGGTTTCTGGTGTTTCATGTAGATCTGAATTATAATTTTGTTGCAGAGATTTTCATCAAGCAATGAAAGATGTTGGTAAAACTTCAGTAGATTTTGTCACATTAACATTCTAAAATCAAAAGGATCCATTCATAGAACAAAGCACACTTATTATATTGATTAAACTTTTGTAAGTTTGTAGCAAATGATCTAATTGATATGATAAGTCTATATCTAAATTTCTGACTCTGTTGTGGGCTTTGTTCATTTTTTCAAGTCTGGATGCTAAAGCCACCAATATTCAGGTAACAGTGAAGCAAGGAGGACTGAAGCTGTTACAGATTCAGGACAATGGCACAGGTATCAGGGTAGGTATATCTGTGTATCAGGGTAGGTATAGCTGTGTATCAGGGTAGGTATAGCTGTGTATCAGGGTAGGTATAGCTGTGTATCAGGGTAGGTATAGCTGTGTATCAAGGTAGTTATAGCTATGTATAAGGGTAGTTATAACTGTGTATCAGGTTAGGTATATCTGTGTATCAGGGTAGGTATAGCTGTGTATCAGGGTAGTTATAGCTGTGTATCAGGGTAGTTATAGCTGTGTATCAGGGTAGGTATAGCTGTGTATCAGGGTAGTTATAGCTGTGTATCAGGGTAGGTATAGCTGTGTATCAGGGTAGGTATATCTGTGTATCATGGTAGGTATAGCTGTGTATCAGGGTAGGTATATCTGTGTATCAGGGTAGGTATAGCTGTGTATCAGGGTAGGTATATCTGTGTATCAGGGTAGGTATAGCTGTGTATCAGGGTGATACTATTTAAACTTGAAGGGTCAAATTGATTGAAATTTTTAAAATCTTTCACAAATATTATAGAACCAAATACTCTTCATGGATGGAAATATAGCGTGTTTTACCAATATAGTAAATTTCATGATCCCAATGTCTCACATTTCTCCCTGGGGAGAGACTGAAACTTACAATAGTTTACATAGGAAATTTGCATTTTTGATCATAATTTGTTTATTTTCTGTTGGAAATATTTTGTACTTTGTTGAAATTATTAGTACAGGATGACAGTTTGATGGGGTAGATACATACATTGAATTACCTCCCTTTACCTATACTGTGAAAGTCTTCAGTAACATTTTGTGATAGGAGTTACTATACTCGGCGTCAATGAAAACGCAACACCTTTAAATTACTGTCAAAATTTACCAGTTATAGTTTTGAATACAATATTTAATAAAATACCTAAAAGTTGATTATGTCCATAACAAAATTCACTCAATGCAATCAGCACTACATCATGGGAATACTTTGATTTCCGGTGATTAATGTCCATACCCCCAAAATCAAAATTACCACGTTCAATATCTAATGTGGCCACCATTTGCAGTGACACAAGCGCGGCATATTCGAGGCATTGACCGATAAGGCGTTGAATTTTGATTTGAGGAATGTTCCTCCACTCTTTCTGAAGAGCGATTTCAAGCTGCCGACACGTCTGGGGCTGTTGTGGTCGCTCTCTCACAGCCCTACCCAATTGGTCCCAAAGATGCTCGATCGGACTAAGATCCGGGGAAAACGCGGGCCACGGAAGGGTTGCAGTGTCTGATGTTGAAGGTAGTCTGTAGTGATACGAGCGGTATGTGGTCGTGCATTGTCCTGTTGTAATAACGCTACATTTGGGTGTCCAGCAAAGAATGGAACAACAGCAGGAGTTAAGACCTCGTTGATGTAGCGCTGTGCTGTTAGATTGCCGTCAATAATTACTAGAGGGGTATGGTATACAAAAGAGATACCTCCCCACACCATCACACTGCCCCCGTCCCACCTATCCGTTTCTGTTACACAGCAGTCCAAAAACCTTTCACCTCGACGTCGCCACACTCAAATTCTACCGTCATTTCCTCTGAGGCGGAATCTCGATTTGTCGTTGAACAGGTCGCCAGCCCACCGACGTTGGGTCCATCCTCGGCGCAGTCTTGTCCAATTTAGACGAATTTGACGGCGAATTTGAGTCAATTCGTTTCCCCTAAATGGACGGCGCGACGCCAATCCGGCTGTGCGAAGGCGATGGCACACAGTACTAGCTGACAAATGTCTGCCATGACTTCCTATCGTCTGTCTAGCCGTTCTTGTCGTGGTTTGAAAACGATCTCGCAGGTGACTTAGTCGAATGTAACGGTCCTGGTTTGGCGTCGTCACTCTCTGTCGCCCCGGACGAGGTCGATCTCTCACGGATCCGGTTTGTCGCACTCATTCTGCCAGTCGATTGATTGTGGAAGCAGAACAACCCACTCTCCTGGCAACTTCCCTCTGAGAAAGCCCTCCTGCCAGCATACCCCGAGCTTCGTGTCTTTCATTGTCTGTCAGTCGAGGCATTTGTAGCAAATAATGATGACAATTTAAAAAATTGATGACGGAAAAATGTCTGCCTGTAACTACATTGTTCACTATAGTGACTGAGCAAGGATATAACGCACTTTAGAGCGCCAACATGCAAACTCATGCTTTTACGACAATGCCCTGTGGTACGACAAGGAGTTGATATTACTCGACCATTATTTGGTTAGTTTTGTAGTGCATTGAATTGTGGCTAAATACAGCAGAATAAGAATCTAATCCTTGTTGTGAAGAATATATTATGTCCAAAATTTTAGTCTTGCGTTTTCATTGGCGCCGAGTATATAGATACCCTCTTTGTATAGTGTTATAGGAGTGATGCTTTGTTATTTATACACAAATTTCACAAGTCATAATAAAGATGGACTGAGTCTAAAGCCAGTCTTTTTTTGTTGTATAGAAAGAAGACATGTCTATTGTTTGTGAAAGGTTTACAACAAGCAAACTTCAATCTTTTGATGATCTCAACTCCATCGCGACTTATGGATTTCGGGGAGAAGCCTTAGCGAGTATTAGCCATGTGGCCCACGTAACTATAACAACAAGAACAGCTGATTCTAAATGTGCCTTCCGGTAAATATAGAGATCAGAAAAGGAGGACAGGTATTGTCTCTAAATCTATAACAAATCAAGTTCCTGTGTTCCTGGTCATCTTGGTGAATTGCTATTTTACAGAAATATTGAAATTCTTTATACATTGATCGGGGAAAATCGGGGAAAATAAAAGGGAATATCAACTGCTTGATTGATGGTCTCGTTTAAATTTTGATTTTAAGATTTTAAAAAAATTCATGATTATATTAAAAAAAAAGAATCAACATACTATATCATTATACACAATTGAGTATGAGGTTTACATACGGCTCCTAATGATTACTGTGAAATGATTAAATTCCTGTTGGAGGTTGATTTTCATTAATTTTGTGGGTACTTGCAGTCAAGGCATTCATATTACAGTGAACTGTGAAAATAAGTATGATTTATTGAGCTATCCTTACCAAAGTGTCCAGGAAACAGTAATGAACAGTAAGCCTCACATTTAAATTTTACAGCAGAAAGTCTGTATTGGTTATTAGTGTATTTCTACACTATACATGTCCACATGACCTTTTGTTACAGAGCTCAGTTTATTGATGGGAAGCTAAAGGAAGCAGTGAAGCCATGTGCAGGAAACATTGGAACTCAGATTACGGTATAGAATTATTAACTCTGTTCATATAGAAGACATTCATCCCTAGTTGTGCCTTTTTATTCCTCTGCTGTTCGAACTGCACACGACTATAGTTTGCCTCTCCATCCACCTGGGGGCAGGTAGGGGACATGTATTATGGTTCAGGTAGGGGACATATATTATAGGGGCAGGTAGGGGACAGGTGTTGTAGGAGCTGGTTGGGGATATGTATTATGGGGGCTGGCAGTGGACATGTATTGTCGGGACAGGTAGGGGACATATATTATGGGAGGTGTATATCTTGAGATGGCTGGTAGGGGACATGTATTGTGGGGGCTGGTAGGGGACGTGTATTGCTTCTGCCATACTCACTATGCTGGTTTATTTTCATGGTTCCATGGATGACAGATAGTCATTTTGGATTTTTAATTTGCAAGTTTGTAATCTTTATTTCATGAAAAGAATTGGATGATCAGTTTTCAAATTTCATCTGTAGGTTCCCCTTGTTCTGTAGTTGTGTTTTGTATATTTTTGGGACAGATGAGAGAATCAAAATGGATGACAGGTGGCCATCTTGAATTTTGAATTTGAATAATTGTTATTGCTGTTTCTTAAGTATTAGGTAAACAATCTAAAGATCATATGCAAGTTCTCCTTTGTTACTACTTGGGCATATTTGATTTTTTTGAACTGATCTAAAAATGATGACAGGAATCAATCTTAGAATTTGATGTTGTTAAGCCTTTGGGACTGAGAACGAAATTGTTCAGATAACTGATATTTTCTGTCTTGTGATGTAAACAACAGATAAAATACCAACAGTATCAACAGAATCTTAATTCACACTCAAATTACATGATATATTGGCAAAATATTAACAACATACATCCCAGAATAAGTACAAGGAGATTAAAACCCGATGTTCCTGAAGGATAAGTGTTTTCTGCTTCATTGATGACAAATAGGAAGTTTGGTTCATACAAGTAAATAATATCACATTCCTGAATGAGAACAAGGTCAACAAGTAAATGATATCACATTCCTGAATGAGAACAAGGTCAACAAGTAAATGATATCACATTCCTGAATGAGAACAAGGTCAACAAGTAAATGATATCACATTCCTGAATGAGAACAAGGTCAACAGGTAAATGATATCACATTCCTGAATGAGAACAAGGTCAACAAGTAAATGATATCACATTCCTGAATGAGAACAAGGTCAACAAGTAAATGATATCACATTCCTGAATGAGAACAAGGTCAACAAGTAAATGATATCACATTCCTGAATGAGAACAAGGTCAACAAAAAAGTTCTAACTTCATATCTCAAAAGGAAATAATTTTGATCTCCAGCGAAGCACATTTGCTGGGACATTAATTTGGGCTCCATTAATCTGTGCGTGCATGTGTCCGTCTGTCTTAGGGGTTTTCCAGGCTATAACATCAAAATTGTTGCACTCAGCTAAACAAAACTTTCTGTTTATATTAGGTTATAGCCCTAGTTGTGCCATTTCTTATTGAGGACATTTTATTATTGATCTTTTTACTGTTACTATGAAAATTTTCGATTTCTTTGGACTTTTTGTATGACTCCAGAGTTTATAGAGTGTTGCATAAATTCGTCCATAGACAATACCAAGCTGCAATATATAAGGTATATGATTATTTATAAATATATATGAAATGTTGAAGTTGAGGTGATGCAAGGAAATTTAATTGGTCATTGACAAAAGAAAACATTACATCTTGCACTAGTGCTTTCACTGTATTAGATCTTCAGATGATAGTGGCGGTTCACATACAATTGAGTGACGTCAAAGTTTGTAATATCTGGGTGTGGGGGATAATGCCACATTTTGTGGCTTCTTCTCCCCATTGAGTTTACTCATAGACGCTAATGAAACATTTTCTCTGTGAAACCGATACTCGTGAAAAATCTTCTCTGTGAAATTGAATCTTGTGTAAAATTTTTTATGTGAAAAAAGACTTTCACGTAAAATCTCTGTGTGAAAAAAGACAATTTGTAAAATCTCTGTGTGAAAAAAGACAATTTGTAAAATCTCTGTGTGAAAAAAGACAATTTGTAAAATCTCTGTGTGAAAAAAGACAATTTGTAAAATCTCTGTGTGAAAAAAGACAATTTGTAAAATCTCTGTGAAATCATATTTTGTATCATTTTCTATGAAGGTTGAGGATTTATTTTACAACATAAACACACGAAGAAAAGCACTGAAAAGTCCATCAGAAGAGCATGCCAAGGTCTCAGAAGTTGTCAGCAGGTAAGTTAGTGTGTAATTGTAACCAGAATATGACAACACTCCCGTCTAACATGCCAAGGTCATGGAAGTGGTCAGCAGGTCAAACGCACCAAGGTCACAGTTGTAGTCAGCAGGCCAGTAGTGTGTTATTGTAACAAGAATATGTTGACACCTCTCTAACACACCAAGGTCACAGAGGTGGTCAGCAGGTAGGTTAGTGTGTGTTTGTAACTAGAATATGTTGACACCTCTCTAACACACCAAGGTCACAGAGGTATGTTAGTGTGTGTTTGTAACAAGAATATGTTGACACCCTGTCTATCATAACATTCATTTTGAAGATGTGTTTTGCACCACAGTATTTTGATAATTCAACTCCACTTTGACTGAAATGACCAACCCTTTCCAAAAACATTAAGAAAATTGTTACCATTTTAACTTCACTGTTTTTCAGACATATTATTTAAACTTTTAAATCGGAGCTATAAAACTATAGACAGGATTCACTATAAAGGTGATATTGTTCTGTCTATAGATCTGTTAAGAGGAATATTCAGTGACTGTTTCTTTGTTTCAGGTGGTCACTGTAGACAGGTTTCACTATAAAGGTGATTTTGATCTAGAGGAATATTCAGTGACTGTTTCTTTGTTTCAGGTGGTCACTGTAGACAGGTTTCACTATAAAGGTGATTTTGATCTAGAGGAATATTCAGTCACTGTTTCTTTGTTTCAGGTGGCTGCTATAGATAGGGTTCACTATAAAGGTGATTTTGATCTAGAGGAATATTCTGTGACTGTTTCTTTGTTTCAGGTGGCTGCTATAGACAGGGTTCACTATAAAGTTGATTTTGATCTAGAGGAATATTCAGTCATTGTTTCTTTGTTTCAGGTGGCTGCTATAGATAGGGTTCACTATAAAGGTGATTTTGATCTAGAGGAATATTCTGTGACTGTTTCTTTGTTTCAGGTGGCTGCTATAGACAGGGTTCACTATAAAGTTGATTTTGATCTAGAGGAATATTCAGTCACTGTTTCTTTGTTTCAGGTGGCTGCTATAGACAGGGTTCACTATAAAGTTGATTTTGATCTAGAGGAATATTCAGTCATTGTTTCTTTGTTTCAGGTGGCTGCTATAGATAGGGTTCACTATAAAGGTGATTTTGATCTAGAGGAATATTCTGTGACTGTTTCTTTGTTTCAGGTGGCTGCTATAGACAGGGTTCACTATAAAGTTGATTTTGATCTAGAGGAATATTCAGTCACTGTTTCTTTGTTTCAGGTGGCTGCTATAGATAGGGTTCACTATAAAGGTGATTTTGATCTAGAGGAATATTCTGTGACTGTTTATTTGTTTCAGGTGGTCACTGTAGACAGGGTTCACTATAAAGGTGATTTTGATCTAGAGGAATATTCTGTGACTGTTTCTTTGTTTCAGGTGGCTGCTATAGATAATGTTCACTATAAAGTTGATTTTGATCTAGAGGAATATTCTGTGACTGTTTCTTTGTTTCAGGTGGCTGCTATAGACAGGGTTCACTATAAAGTTGATTTTGATCTAGAGGAATATTCAGTCACTGTTTCTTTGTTTCAGGTGGCTGCTATAGACAGGGTTCACTATAAAGTTGATTTTGATCTAGAGGAATATTCAGTCACTGTTTCTTTGTTTCAGGTGGCTGCTATAGACAGGGTTCACTATAAAGTTGATTTTGATCTAGAGGAATATTCTGTGACTGTTTCTTTGTTTCAGGTGGCTGCTATAGACAGGGTTCACTATAAAGTTGATTTTGATCTAGAGGAATATTCTGTGACTGTTTCTTTGTTTCAGGTGGTCACTGTAGACAGGGTTCACTATAAAGGTGATTTTGATCTAGAGGAATATTCTGTGACTGTTTCTTTGTTTCAGGTGGCTGCTATAGACAGGGTTCACTATAAAGTTGATTTTGACCTAGAGGAATATTCAGTCACTGTTTCTTTGTTTCAGGTGGCTGCTATAGATAATGTTCACTATAAAGGTGATTTTGATCTAGAGGAATATTCAGTCACTGTTTCTTTGTTTCAGGTATGCTGTTCACAATAGTCGAGTTGGATTTACTTTAAAGAAGGTAGGAATTTATGACATGTTTGGTTACCATGACATTTCTAATGAATTACAAGTCTGATCATTTCCTAAATATCATACACACATTCCACTAGTCCTTTTTAGACAGATAAGAAAACTAATTTACTAGACAGATGACATTTGAAGTTTGACAGTTATAACTTGTTACCACTGTTTCATATGAAAGTTCCCATAGGTCTCTAGGAATGCATTTGCTATTTATTGACTGATTGGAGAAAAAAAGTCAAACCGACAGCCATCATGAATTTTGACAGATATAATTAGTTATTGATGTCTTTTAAAAATCACTTGATTCATTATCCTCATGATACATATAATTGATATTCTTTGTCCTTAGTTGTGTATTTGTCTAATTTGGGATCCAACTTACAGTCAGAGAACTTTTAAAGATCGTACAATGTTGGGCACCTTCTGTGATCTCCTTTACAGTATTCTGGAGAGTGACTAGGATTTTTCTGAACAGTATAGAGAATTAGCAGTTATTAGGAATGTTTTTATGCTCCCCTAAAATTTGCGATGATGTGCATTAAATAATGCCTTAAAACACTTGTCAAGTTTTAAGTTTCGAGTTAATTTAAGTTATTGCACTTTGTTAAAATTTGATGTCTGGAGCCTAATTTTGTTTCCATTAAAGTAGGGTGATGAATTTTGGTGTAGATATTGGTCATATCAAACTGATATGCATGTAGCTGGCTTTTCTTGACTTTAGTTAGTGTAATGAAACATAAACATTTTTCATACAAAGAGGATGTACAGTATACCAAACCCTGATACCAACTTAATTACAGAACTATTGCCCTTTGTTTAAACTTTGTGTCCAGTAAAGCTGATTTCAGTGACGATTCATCAGTTTCACCGATACTCTTGTTATGATATAGCAGTGAATTATTGATGTTTTTTACAGTATGGGGAAAGTTCTGCTGATGTTCGGACCCCTCCAAATTCATCAGCTGTCCACAACATCCGTACCATATATGGACCGTCCATTGCAAAGTAGGTCCAGTGTGTTATTCTTGTTTAAGAGCAAATCGTAACTACTCATAACTTCTTTTGATATCTGTCCATCCAATCAGGTTTTAGATCAGAGTCATTTCTTGAGAACCTGCCAATAGATTTTGTTCATATTTTCTCCATAGGATCATTACATCATGTTTTACACCTGATCAGATTCTGGTTTGTAAAGGAGCAGAGCCATCTATGTCTTAAAGACATTTTCTAGTTTTCATTTGGATTTCTAGAGTTATGTCCCTTTGTTGGACTTTTTTGGTAATTTGCAGTAAAACTTTAATCATGACTATGTCTTCAGGTTTGGCATCTAAAGGAGTATTCTTTTTTAATACACAATCCTATTCATATGGAATTATGCTCCTCAATTGTAATAAGAATACTTGATTTGCCTAGATAACTTCTTTCAAAGTTGTTGGCTGAAATTCTAAATAAATAACAAACTGATTTTCTAAAAATAGTCATGAAGACCTTGACCTTGACCCTTTAACCCTGAAACTTCAACTCATTCATGATATTATGGTACTCTAAAAAGATATTTGACATAGTTACGTTATGTAGGAAAACTTACCCACATCCATTCTTAACATTAGTTGTGAGTGCATAAAAATACGACACCTACTTTAGTTGCTTCTTCATTGTAGGAATTTAGTTAAACTTCACACACTTGGACATTGTCTTTAAAACCACAAGCTACCATCTACATCATGGCTTCTTAGCAAGGTTTCATTCAAAGTAGAAAAAATAACCCTTCTCCCTGCTGAAAGTATTTGTAGTCAGATGACCGTTAAGGCTCATGGGCCTCTTGTTTCTTTTATTCTTCAATTTTCATGGAATAATCATCAATTTTTATGCTAAGAGCATTTGCTCTTCAGCATGTTGCTATCGCCCCTGAGGCTGAGTATCAGTACTTCGTTTTCATTGGTTCATAAATCGAAAGTTTACTCCTACTCCATCTGCCGGACATTACCGTAATCATTGGATTATCGCCCCTACAAGTTGCTGATGCTAGTCATTAAATGAAACAACCTTATCGACATTTTCTTCATTACCTGTACATCAAGAAAATGTTTTGTGTTGTGTATTAATGATAATCAGACATCGAAATTTGTAAATACAATGACAAAGACTCACGTTTATGGTGGTAAATTTTGCGAGGCGATGCCAATATGGCGGCTTAACTTTCTTTTCCGCACGATGCATTGTGGGAGTCATATACATTTGTATATCTTTCTATTTTTCTTTTTTCGAAAATTTACTTCCCGTTTAATACTGTTGATAACTATTAAAAATACTGATATATGTAGTTGAAAATAAAAATGAAACTAAAATAAGAATGATTTAGAGTAGCATAAAATTTTGACGGAAACAGCCGGGGTGCTCTGTGCTGCTGGACTCTGAAAGAAGACGGCGGCTGAAAGAAGATGGCGGGTAATTCATGTAGGTAAGTATCACTATATATATATATGTTAGCTGAATTTGAAGTCAATACTTATACTGAACTATCAATTGCATTTTTTGCAACAATTCATTTGGAATGAGCCTTCGCGTCTATTGAATTTAGGCTTGACGGCGACGCGCAAGCTGGGCACTGCCGCCATAGCACTTTTTTTTCAAAATATTTTCAAGACTTTTCCCTTGAAGCAGTATGCATTTAAAAAATGTTATGTAAGCATCTAGCACATTTTTGTTGCTTCCGTAAAGTATTTCAGTATTTTGAAACGGATTTATTTTGGAATGATCGTTTCAAAATGGTCTCATCGCAGTCACTTCTGTCAGTGGCCCAACAGATCGGAAATTAACCAGAAAAAAAACTTATCCGTAATATTGTACTGTACTACTTACGCTACCGTGAATAGATCTAGGAATCTGTCTGGGTAATATATCGATTTTACTTTAAAATATCTGTCACTGTCCGCGCTATTGTAGGTCTAGCTCTTTCAAATTTCTGATCGGAGATAATTTATAAGTACCCCAACAGCCAAAGGCCAGAGTATGAAATCGTACGGGAACTCTACAGCTATGCTAATTTTAAGGTTTACATGTGAAGTTAATATATATAGTTTTAGCTTAATTTTAGTTTTTGTCTTTCTGACATGCTGTCTCGTTGATTCTGTTGAAGAGTGATGCATGTGAACGATTACAATATGAAGATTAGGAATAATGAAGATGTCAATTAACATCTGATTCCCGGTAAGTATTTTAATAAAGATTAGGATAAACCTAGCAAAGTGTTAGGTCCCAGTGTGTATGTGTAAAGTTCCAGTGTGAATGTGTAAAGTCCCAGTGTGAATGTGTAAAGTATTATTGGTACAATTGAACTTTTTGATATATGTACTGTATTTGTTCATCTCAGAAATTTCAGTATTATGTCAACTGCGTCCACTTTCAGTTCAACACTTTTGATTCATCAATTTTACCCAGCCCTAGGCTCAATATTTGTCATTAATTGTCGATTGTTTTTTAGAGTTTTGTTTTCATGGTGAATGGAATGAAATGAGATAAATAGTCTAACCAATACCCCTCGAGAGCTAATTAAGACATTGCAGTATTATCATTTTGGGCCTTATTAAAAGTCAAATTGCAACTTTTAAGAAACTCAAGTGACTGTAAGTACAACAATAAGATGTCAATAATCAATGAAATTGATTAATTGAGAAGACATTTTCTTAGTACAGTTAACCAGGCTTTGTAGTGGTTTGTTCAGAACTGTAGTTCTGGTTAAGTAACCATTAATTGTGTCCTTTCAGTTACAATGACATACATTTTTGAAATACCTCTACTGTAGCTAAATATGGCATTTGTAATAGACAGCCAACATTAATTTTGTGATAGACATAGCCAAATTTAATTTTAGGATCAGTTAGGACAGCTACTGTTTGTAACAGGCATGGGTTCAATTACATGATGATGTAATTAATGAAATTACAATTACATTATGAAAATGGCATTGCCATTGCATGACGGTCCAATGTAATTAATTAAATTACACATTACCTTTCAAGTCATAATGATTTTTGAAATACAAACGTCAAAATAAATTATCATACTGCACAGATTTATCTCATGAATTTAACTTTATGATTCAATCTCTGTATGACCATGGTCAAGATATTCTTATTTTCTAGCTGTCCATCACTTCATAATTTGACAGTCCTGAATGTCAAAACAATTAATTATATTTAATATAGACTCCTATTGGGAAGTTCAAGACTATAAGCTTATACAGAAGTGTATATTTCTTGCACATAATCATAGCAATAAAGAAATATAGTTATTTATTTGCTTTACTCTCTTTCAGCAGGTGGATGTCCCTGAAGAAATGAAATCTGGAATGGTAGAAGGTATCTCTTGATTATTCTAACTTGGAATTGGCCATTGTGACCAACAATGGATTTGAGGACCTTATGGTGGAGAAAAACGTCCTTCTAACCGACCTCCAATTAGATGTTGAAGATGGTTAATCACTTGAGGATATGCTAACAACCATGTTGCCTTTTAAGGTCACAGTACTCTCTAAAGGCGGCAATATAATTACCATCACAAAAGAAGAATCAACAAATGGCAGAAACTAAAAAAATGTGGAAAAGATCATTGTATGCTGCATTTGTAGTAAATTTCTTTACAATCTTCAATTTACTTAAGTAGAAAGATTCACTAGTTATACCAAGTTTATGTAGAAAGGCTCACTGTATACTGAGTTTGTAGTGTACATAGAAAGGTTTACTTATTTTTTTTTTCTGAGTTATGTATATACAATATATAAAAAAACTTTTTGTAGAAAAGATCACCGCATACTGAGTTTGTTGTTTACAAATGTGTAGAAAAGATCGCTGTATACCGAGTTTATAGTTTACAATTGTCTAGAAAAATCACTGTATACTGAACATAATACGACTTCTGTTTAAAACCTTCATTTAAACTTAGACATGTATTTTTTTTTATTTATCTTAAAAGTCTACCTACAACAATTTTGTGTATGCAATCTTGTACTAGGATATTGACATGACAAGATTACATTGCTGATCAAAGCATGGAAAGAATACTGAATAAAGAAAACAAGATATAAGCATCTTTATCATGTTTTTATTTTTATTATTATCATTATTATTTTTCCATGATGTCTGTCCACATGGAATTTGTAAGCACTCTTGTGCATTCTTATACCACCAAAAGGGTGGGTAAATCGAATCAAGTTGTCTATCTGTCCATCCATCTGTTTGTCTGTCTGTAGACACATCTTGTCTAGACAACTCCAATGAAACTACAGTAATATTCGGGACAATGTGTAGATGTGCATGCACCATTTTCCCCTGGAAATATTGATTGCCATGGCATCTGGTCAATATAGACAGGTTTTGCATGTCGGTCAACTTCTAAACCTGTGGACCAATTTCAACAAAACTTCGCAGGAATATTAGGGAACATGTGCACATGCCGCTGTGTTTCAGAGGATGTTTTTTTGCAAAAGGTCACCATGGGGAGATAACTAAGGCTGTGGGTGATGGGGGTATTAGTTATCATTTGGATTACAGTTTCAGTTATCCCTGGGCAATGTGGAGAGGATATAGTAATGATTTTGAGGATTGAATGTAGAGGTCACAGTACTTGCATAAGTACTATATGATTACCTTGTAAACGCATTGAGACCAAGACAGTTAGTATACCTTAATCAAATTTGGAACATGTATCCCTTGTGAGGAGAAGTCGGTTTCTTTAGAAATTCAGGGTCAGATATCAAAGATCAAGGTCACAGTCAAAAAACGGATAGTTGCATGGGGGTGTTTTTCCATTGTATTACCCTCGTTTTTCTATCAAATTTCACAACCTAAAAGATATTCACATCTTGTAAATTTCAAGGTTCAAGGTCACTGTAAGGATGTTAAAAAAAATGATAATACAAGAGGAATAAAATATCTTGTGACAAGTTTTAGAGAACAAAGAATATATAAACATGAAAAATTGGAACAAAGTCAATATCTACTTGA